CTACCTGTATCTATCGATGGAAAAGGAATTCGTGACGTTCTTCCTCTCTCTTCCTCTCTCATCATGGAAATTCAGCTTCAGATCAACTACCACGTCCGTCTAACACCAGCACTCTGATCGGCAGCTAGTTCGACATGCTTCCCAGTTCTGGACGAGAAACAGATGCCCAGATCGGCTTCTTACGAGCAACAACCTGGTCGCTATTGACCCACGCCGGCTGCGTCGCGGCGCGCTCGTCAGCAAACTATGTATATCGAGGCGGGTTGACGAGGACACGTCAGATCCGCATGTGCATCTGACGGCCGAACACGGAATGAACAAGATCGCCAACCGCTCGTTGGTGCTGATGAGCAACGGCCGCTGTCTGCTTCCATCAAGTTCAATTTCCTGCAACTGTCCCACCTCGCACTTTCGGACCCCCTAGAAGTGTCCAACAGGTACTTACGACGTTTCCACGGGTCCTTATAAGTTGCTGGGATACGAAGAAAGGAATGCAGGCAGCAAATATTAGCACCAAGAATACTACGTGTACGAGCATTGTATTACGACTAGTAAGCTCCCTGGTATGCATCCATCCAGATGGGTACGGCAACTCATACAAGTCTGTGCGACATGTCGACAAAGGATACGTACACATCGTACGAGCCACAGTGGAGGCCGTTTTGCTTTCATCTTACCATCAACCGAGGATGTGGGACAAAAATTTGTGAAACTAGAGGGAGCTTCGCCTTCCATGGCCCGCTGAACTTGGGGGTTTCGCCTTCAGGGCCGCTTCTCTCATGTGTACAGTCATTCAAAAGAATCTTGATAAGCTTCGCAGATTCATTTGCGAACCAGGGAGGCCAATGATCCGAGAATGGTTGCAATCTTCTGTGCTCCATCACATATCACTCTTGCGAAGAGCAGATTATGCAGAGAGCCCTTTTCCCCATACAAGCGCGGAACACAAGTACACTCGGCTGTGGGCCTCTGACAATAGCAATGCTGCATCTATTGTCGGGAATAGCCAGCCAATGCATGCGCCAAGTACGAAACTCGAAGCACAGAGTAGTACAAGTGTCGCTTAGCAGGAACCAAGGCGTCGAGAACTGCCGTCATAAGTTGCGGAGTGTGAGTTACTCACTTATATCCCTGAATCTTTGGCCTTGTTAGCCCTCCTTCTCGAATTGGTGAAGGATAATCAAAGGGGACGGCGCAGTAGGCCTCCATTTGTTAGCGCCCGCCAACTGCTACGGCTCTTTCACCCAACCCTAGCCTGCCACCATTTTTTGCATGGTTTCTCTTCTCTTCTCTATGCTCCAAGCTCTAGTGTAAACAAACTGCGGGATGACCCGAGCAGCGGGGTTCCTGAAACGACGACAATTATTACCCCACGAGCGTTGCAAGACAAAACTGACTGGCATCAAGATGTTGCCATTATCTCTGCTTCAGCTCCCAATGGAGCTCGGATTTTGCCTGCCTTGGGTCACATAAAGCTTGGGTCCCTCGCTATAACGATGATCCTCCCTCCAGACTTGGCATTGTTCAAGCAAGACGACAGAAACTGGATAAAAGCCGTGCAACTTCGTCAGAGTTAGTCGTGCATCCTCAAGCTAGCGTCCCCGGTCGTGCCCACAACCGATGCCAGAGGGGGCATAAGACAGCAGATGCTACTGTATGGAGTGCTTTGAAGCGCCTGGATGTATGAAATGAAATGTGAGCAAATCCTTACATCCACCAATGGGTACCTCGTGAGATGGCATCTGCATATCTATCCATCACAAGGTATGGAGCACTCCGGACACCCACTTCCCGGGTTTTAAATTGTGTCTTTTCCTCTTTCACAACTGTGCAGCACAATCCTTTCTTTTAGAACTTTTGAGAAGCGACCAAGTCTCCCTAACCGAAGGCAGATGAGACTGGTCTCACAAGGCAGAAATGCTTCCATGGCTAGGATGCGCCCAGCGCCCTTGGGCGAGGAGTTGCGCCTGAGTGAGCCCCTCACTACCGCTTATCTGGCTTTCCGGATGAAGATTGCATTTGCGGGTTTCTAACAGAAAATTTATGTAATTGCTTTCATGGTAGGTTGTCCTGCTCCCGTTCTCAAGCCGTGTCCTTGAGGCCCTTATACCCTGCTTTCTGGGTCCTGGCTGTTTGGACCCCGGCTCCTGGCCTGGGGAATTCATTGTTCAAGTGGCCATCACACAAATAGCACCAATCCTGTCCTACGAAGAGGGGCCGAGGTCGCTGAGCCGCCCCATGCTGTCTCATTAAAGTGACATGTCATGCTTGGCTGTGGAATTTTCCTCGTCGTTGGTGGGTGATAGTCAACCTAGGCAGTCTTGAGAGCTAGCAGAGGCTCCCATTAACAACACTGCTGGCTCAAGCCATTCCATCCATTGGCTTATGACCCAGCTCACCGAAAGCCAAGATGAGGATGAAACTGGGCTACTGGTAATACATACACTTGCGAGTGTTTTTGCAGTGATTTCTTAGCACAAAGTTTTGTGGCCGGCATCGCTAATTCAAGCCTAGCAGATGATTAGGTATGCGGATGGAACCTGGGGTGGCAACGAACGCCCCCCTTCGAGAACTATCTGCTAAGAAGATCCTCTACGAGCAAGTACAGCTAGCCAATCTTGTTCAAATTTGTTTACTGAAAGGCGTGTACCCTGATGATATCCAACTGTCTGCCATTGGGGGCTGAGACTGTCATTTCTGTCAATACCGGCATGTTACGTGGCCAAGCAAGCTACATTGTTGGCCATCGATGCCGCAGATGAGAGAATAACTCAGGACGTGGATGCCATTTATCGCGACACACAACGCTATCTGTAAAGAGAAAACGACAAGGAAAAGCCCCGAGCATGTTTGACGCCATATCGTATATTTAAAGCACAATCTCGATCTGGTTTAGTCTTGCAGCTGAAAGATTAACACCCCATCCTATCTTGAGCAAAGTGGCATTTATGCAGCCTGCCTGTCATCATAGCTTGAGTACCTGCAAGCCGGGCATATTCCGACAGGCCGTACGGTTGTTGGTGCTTACTCCTTCGCAATTGTACACCAAACATTGGTTGGTATTAGGGCTTGCATCTCATACTGTACACCCCCAAAGTGCAGCAAGAGACTTATGCATCCATGTCTCTCAGACCAACTCACGACAGGCGAGTATAGCTTCAGTACTGTTGAGTACTTGCACCCCAGGCCTCTGTCCTTTTCAATCCATGACACATGCCGCCCCCCTGGGATCTGCGAGTCAGCCGCTGCTGCGGATATAAAGCAGGCTTTAACATCTTCGTTCATCATGCGTGAGAAAAACGTGGCTCAAGTGACAGCCAGGGCTCTGATGCCCGCGGACTATAATATGCGGAGGTGGGCAAACCACAGCACGTCATCACATTCCATTCTTCGTGAGCCTCCTGCATCCAAGCATTGACAGGTGGAGGAGCCGTACTGGCGCACTAATGGCGTTTGCATGAACCCCATCGCGGAGGAATCTATCAAAGTACACCATGTACCGTGGCATATGTACGGAGGACTATGTGCATCAAAGAGGGGGCGTCTACTTAAGCTGCAAGGGAGCAGCATGTCCCATCTTGCACCTCGCTTAACATACTGAGCTGCCAGCAGGAACAAAAGGGGGATATGCAACATCATTACTGGATGCTGCCCCTAACATCAGATGCATTTGACGGGTTGTACAATGCAACATTATCACATTCTTACAGCTTTCTTCTGTGCATCAGGCCCAACGGAGGAAGTTGTTGGTTCGCTGTCATGCATGGGTAAAGTCCATGGATCCATCCGTGAGAGGGGATTCGCCAGAACCAGATGATTGACAAATGGAATGGGATTCTCAAATTCTAGGATCTTCCGTGACGGCGATTCTACCTGCCCCTCGGCACTAATAAGAAGCTGAAACCGACGTGGTGCATGCATTCATTCCACTGAGCGCCTTGTCAAGCAGAGCCAGCACTTTTTTAACACGACATGCCCCCCTTCGGACGGCCCCCCTTACCGGGCGTGACGGAGAATAGACAGCCGCTTGGCTTCCTTGCAATTTGATTGATAATGGTGGCCTCGCTGTCACATTTCTTTTGTTTACCCAACGCAAAAGCTCTCCCTTGAGCTGTAATGCATGACCGAAAAGTGATAGAGTTTAACAAATTAAACCGACGGTGCCGAATCAAGAACAATGGCAAGGAGTCATGATGCTACCTATCATTATCATAAAAAGGGGGAAAGCGTGATTGTGACGTCTTGCATCTTGGGATCGGTGCCGCTGAAGAATTTTGGATGCAAGATATTACTTGGCACAGGGTTCGAATGAGTGGACGGGGGAACAGGTTCAGTTGTGCCATACTTGGCCACTGAGATCTGCTCTCGGGAAGTATGTCTGGAGGGCGAATTGGAGTGGTTCGAACGAATTGATTGGGCGCCCCTTTTATGAACTCACTGATTCGCTTGAGATGTTGAAGATCAGCGTGTACCGGGACGACGTGGTACACTTCTCTTCATACCTAGTACTGATATGGACAATTGATGAAGCAAGCTGGGGTTTTTGAATATTGCGGTGTTCTATGTGTACTCGATGCTAACACCTACAAGAGTTCTTACTGTAGATATGTGACTATATACGGAATGCGCCTTACTAGAAGACGACGCTGCGAGAAATCGTTGGACCGTTCGAAAACGCACACAAAGAAAGAAGGCTCGAGTTCTTTAGTTCTGATCTGATATATCTGTCTTCTACCACGACTATCTAAACTTGTTATATCTGTTGAAGATCTATCGCCAAAAAAAAAAAAATATCCTGCGTAGTCTTTCTTGTCTGGCTCTTCTGAAGGTTGTAAACTGAAAAGGGAAATCGAATAATAAAAAAAGGCAGTATGCAAAAATGAAGACTGAATTTATGAGCCGTTGAACCTCAGACACGCATCTGACTTGGGCCGGCATTGTGATTGCGCCGTATTTTCCACCTCCAAACGCCCCTCGTAAGTATCTTTTTCAGGTCTAGCCTAGTTATCCCAGAAGCCCGGGAACAGGTACTCGACCTTCTTCATGGCCTCAGGGTTCCTGCCAGCAGGCTTGGTCATGAACTTGACAGGGCCGGAAGACGCACCCTCCCAGTGCTTGGCCAGGACAAGATCACTGTGGTCCAGCTTGGAGAGTTGGTCCAGAACACCACCAACCAGTCGCTTGGCGTTCTGGCTGTTGGCCTGCATGTACTTGATAACCATCTCGACATTAACGTCTTCGTATGAGTGCCAGCAGTCGTAGTCGGTAGCCATGCAGATAACCTGGTAGGAAAGCTCAGCCTCGCGGGCAAGCTTGGCCTCGGGAAGAGCAGACATGTTGATGACAGAGCCACCCCATGAGCGGTACATGTGAGACTCAGCACGGGTAGAGAACTGGGGTCCCTCTGTGGTGAAAGAAAAGTTAGTAAAGTGGTCAGTTTAGGTCAGTTCTGGGTAAATGCATTGACGAACCCATGCAGATAAGAGTGCCCTTGTCATGGAGCACCACGCCATCGCCCTCCATATGCGCCGCACATGTCTTGACGATATCTGCCAGCTTCTTGTCGAATGGGTCCGCAAATCCAACGTGGCCTACGACACCACCCTCAAAGAAGGTGAAGGGCCTGATGCCCTTGGTGCGATCGATGACCTGGTCGGGGATCACAAAGTCCATGGGCTTAATCTCCTCCTGCAGGGAGCCCACGGCGGAGAAGGCAATGACGCATCGGACACCGAGGTGGCGGAGAGCAGCGATATTGGCTCGGTTGGGAACTTCATGAGGCGCAAACTGATGGTGCAGGCCGTGACGGGCGAGGAAGGCAATGTTGACGCCGTTGTGGGAGAGGATGGAGATGGGCGAGGCGGGAGGTCCCCAAGGGGTGATGGGGTTGACAACAGCAATGGGCTCGTAGCCATCGAGCTGGGCAAGCCCGGTGCCACCGATGACGCCAATGTGGACGGGCTCTACATGCTCGAGTTAGAGTCACATTGGAGATGGCAGCAGGGAGCTTTGCAACATACGATCGAAGCTAGTGGGGAGGTCGGCCATGGTGACTGCTGGCTGGTGATGGAAGATTAGCGAATGCGCCTGCAAATAAAATCTGAAAGTCGAGCATTGTACCTGCTGGGTATGGCTGTGCGTGTAAAAGGAAACAAAAAGAAAAGAAGAGGCTTTGGAGATTGGCAATGGTGATGTTCTTGGAAAGGCCGCAGGTTCTGGGGAACCGAAAAAAAGCTACCAAGCTGCACTTACCCCTCTATCGATAGTGATGGAGGGGCAGGATTTTCATAGGTAGTACTATAGGCGCTCGTTGCCAACGATAAGAGGTTCAGGCAAAGAGCACGCCATCATGGAATTAAGTTCCTAGGAGCTTAGTGCGCTTATGTGATATTTTGAGGTGAAGCAGCTCTGTACCTAGGTATTCTATGATAATACAGGGAAACTCAATGCATTCAGTTGGTGAGATTTGAGGATGCCGGCCGGAGTGCTGGGAGAGGTAGCTCTAATACCATCATGGTGGTACTCAAGTACATGGCAGCCGCCTGTATCATTGTACCTCAATGGGAAGGGGAAAAGATGTTGCCGATCTGGTTGACACGGAAACGCCTTCAGCCCGGACACAATCACCCAAAACAACTCTGCACTCTATTCGAACATTGACCGATACATTCATTTTGAGGAACGACAAGACAAGAGGCAAAATACACTGTAAAGCTACCTCGTCACTTATTCCCGATATAGCGGGGTTATGTGCTTACCAAGCCGGCAACTTTTTTTTTTTTGCGGGCCATTTCATTGCTTCATAAACTGCAGGGCAAAATCATATTAGAGATATCCAAGGTTGCTCACGCGCGCATCATCAATTTCACTTGCCTTGAGACTCTAACATCAGCCGCAGAGATGAGGATGGCGGAGACGGTTGACATCAACGATACTACCATTCTTGGCCAAGATGTAGTATCGACGCGGCCGAGCGAGAATGGTGGCGACAACTCGGGCGAGACCATCGAAGAGCGATGCTTCTCAGCCGCTCTCATCTGCCTGGAGGGCCATTTCACACAGTCTCCTCCCATGGGCCCTCAAACCACGGCCAGGGTGAACTCGATGATCTCCAAGACGCTGGAAAAGACTCACACGCTGAGGAAAGCCAGGTAGGATCCCTTGCCTAGTCTACGTCAAGATACCATGCCGCTAACCTGCATTGACGGCATCAAACAGAGAGGCCTTGGCACGGAATGTAGCAATCTGGATATGGCTTACCAGGATCTTTGCTGCTGCCATTCCCAGCTTGACATCGAGATCAGTGGGGCCTCTATCAGCGTTGAATGATCCTGACAAGGGAGTCAGCCCTCAAGAAAGCACAGCCTTGATCGTCCTCAACCATGTTTCTGTTAAGGAAGACCTGGGAACCCTCATCAAGCTGATGCACATTGCGCGCAACCTCCTTGTTAATGCTGAGCCCGAGGTTCCTCAGGATATCTGCGCGGCAGTGCATTTTGACCAGATGGTCTATCAGACGATTATCCTCTGTGTCAACGTAACGAGCAAGGGCTACGATGGGGAGATATTGGACGAGGCCCAGAGACTAAAGCTCACAGACATTACTGAATTATGTATGTCCAGCTGACTTCTCCCGCGTGGAGAGATGAAGACATGCTAATCCCTTCTCTCAGATAAAAAACTGCTTGTGACTTCGCTGCAGCAAGTTCACAACTGGACTGCCAAGCATGATCGCAACAAGATGTCCTTCTGGTTTGATGTCTTGTTTGACGATGACGGCGCGCTGTCAGGACCTGAAGAGATTATGACAGACGGCTCGGGATTCCGCCCAGATGCGGCCAAGCATCAAGTTCAGCACTGGCTGGATCGGAATTCGAAAATGTGCGACACAGCGAGGAAGTTGCTTAGACACTACGCCGAAAACCATGCAGACAAACCCCCAGGAAACTTGGCCCCCATACGGCCATTGGCCTGGAACTGGCTTCCGGATACCCTTGATCCCACTTCCATCATCCTGGATGATGACGCTGAGAAGGTCAACCCGGTATGGAAGCCGGATGAGCCGGACAAGTACCAACAGGACCGGTTGTACGCTCGTGTGTCCCGTGAGATTGACACATGGTGGCTCCGGGCGCGGGATCCGAATTATGAGGACTGGGTGGTTGGCATGCCATCCGTGGAGTTTGCGCAGTCACGTACAGAGCATTGCCGCAACAACTTGGTTCATCGATATGCTCATTCTTACCGAGCGGACCACTCGCCGCCTCCAGAGGGTGCCGAGGAAGACCTCTCTGATCATGAGCACTGCCACGAGTGCCATGAGTGCTATCTTCGTCACAACCATCACCATGAAGATGATCATGAATGCCATCACCACCACCATGATCACGAACATGACCATGAGCATGAGCACGAGCATGACCATGACCATGACCATGTGCATGACCACGACCACGACCACGACCACCATCACCACGAACATGCAGCATCTGGCAATGAGATTGAGGAGTGCGACCACCACCACCATCATCATCATGATAATGAAGACGACCACCACCATCATCACTGCCACCACCACCACCATCATCATCACCATGATCACGACTATCCCCACGATTACATGGACGACATGATGGATGATGAGGAGGTCGATGATGACGAATCGTATGGAGATGGTCCATTGACTGGTCTTTTGACAGAGGTGCCTAATATTCTCGATCCAAAGCAGATTGAGGCATTGCACATGATTGTGAAGTCGTGCATTCTCGACCACGCGGGATCCGGGTTGACACGGGCGGGAGAAAATTTGCAGAAGACTCGATGCAGAATGTTCCTTGCACTGGATTGTGGAAAGAGTCTACTCCGTGAACTGCTCGTCTTCATTGCTGTGTGGGATAAGGACGAGCAAAGCCTCATTTTCCAAGTCACAACCCAGATCGTCGAGGCTATTCACCACAGCGCCCTGGTGCCCTATGCGTGGAACTCCCTAAGAATCCCCAAGGACATCATCTCCCCTGCGCAAACGGTCCTCTTGCGCCTTGTCAACCATATGCTTCGGGCGCGGGCTGCCAGTTCTACTACACAGGATTCCAAGGACCAGACCAGGGATCTCAAGTTGGTGCACTTCTTCTTTAGTTTCTTTCGGAGTCGCATCGTCCCCGAATGCGCGGCTCTCATGCATTTGCAAGCTCAGATTCGCGAGGAGAATCGTGATCCAGCCGAGTTCCCGGTCGATAGCTGGGACATGGAACGAGCTAAGGATGGGCTGTCCCAGTATCTGGAATTTCTCACGACGGTGGCCGAGATGGTGGACATGAGGCCCCATCTCATCGAGTGGCAGGCTATTTATGATCTTATCACGATCCTCAGCAGCCTAGAAGCCGCAGTGCCGAAGAAACCACTCGTCGAAGTACCCAAACGCGCTCCAGCAGTAGAGACCACCTCTAATGCCGGCAATAATGCCAGCAACGACCCGATGGTGGAGCGGCCATACGCAACTGGAGACGAGGGCGCATCTCCATCACCCCCACCGCCCCCTCTGCAAGAGCCGGCTCACAAGTTCCCATGGTCCGGCATAAAGGGACAGATATTCACCATCATTGCTACGCTACTGCAGCCACCGCCTGGACAAAGCACTCCCGGCAATGCTCAAGTGCAGATGCAAATGATGAAGTACAACGGTATCGTGCCCCTGCTCAACTGCTGCGCATACGACGACCACAATCCATTCGCTAAGGAGCGAGTAACCATTTGCTTGAAATGGCTGTTGGACGGCTGTGAGGCTGCCAACAACTTCTTCCGCGAGCTGGTCAACTTGGCACCGCAGCCGAATCTGAGGCCACCGCCCGGAGGCACCACGGTGTCGACGATCAAGCTGGATGGAGTGCAGGGAGAGGTCAAGGTGCAAGTGCGGTCAAACACGGCGCCGCCATTGGCAGACCGCGGTGCTAGCAGCACTGATGAGCTGCTTGAGAAGGCGGCCGAGCTTAACCTGGGGCTGAATCAGAGTAAAAGCGGTGGTCGAAGCAACATTGAGGAAGACTTTATGGCATAGTCGACACTGATATATGCTACAATCGAAATCAAGACATTAACGAAGTCGGATTATTCATGGAAGCATTCTGGCGTTTTTTTTTTTTTAATCATAGCGGTGGATCAAGTATATCTTATGTACAGTATCATTGAGGACAAATTGAATAGAAATTCCTTGCAGTGTAAATATAGCACGGTGAATGGGAAGCGTAGTTTTTGTCTAGGTATTCTCTTCCAATTTTGCCTTGTTATACAGGATAGGCTATACATATATACATATGTATTGTGGTATGTAAACAACGCCGTATGAAATAGCTAATTCTAATGACAACCAAAAACATAATCAACGTAGATGAAGTCGTTAAGACAGACGTACATGCAGATAACCAAGGTCCCAAGGTGCGTAGATGGATGTTAGTTGGAATACAGGGTCAAGCAATTTGGAAGGTAGAGTAGAGTAGGAGTTTGCGGCCTTCTTTTTGGTTGTCTTCCTCTTTCTTTTCGAACCAGCCCCTTTTCCGCCGTTGTCAGTGTGCGCCGTGCAAGATATAAGCCATGGAAATTGAATGAGTCCCCCATTACGAATCTGATTTCATTTTGTTTTAGGGGGAGCGTTCCCGCCCTTTTGTCGTTCCTGTTCGTGATATTCTTGGATTCCTTTGTTATTTTTTTTCCTTGTCTTTTCTTTTCTTCAGATTAATTCACGATCCCTTCGTATCTTCGTTCTTGCTTCAATTTGATCCGTTGGTTGCGAGCTTGCCCTCCGTCTTCTCGACATAAGCCACCAGATCCGCAATGGTGCAGACCTTGAGGCCCCATTTCCGGGCAAAGTCGATGCAGGCCTCGCCGCGCAACATGCCGGGCTCATTGCGAACCGCCTGGCCGGGAACCTCCTCTCCGTCGTCGACAATCTCGCAGATGACACCCGCCTCGGCCTTGCCAGCAAGGCGGCAGAACTCGGTGGCAGCCTCGGTATGGCCGTTGCGGGCGCGGATGCCGCCGAGGGCAGCGCGCAAGGGCAGGACGTGGCCGGGACGACGCAGGCTGGCGGCGGTCGATGCGGGATCGGCCAGGACGCGGCACACGAGGGCGCGGTCGTGGGCGCTGATGCCGGTGGTGACGGAGGGGTCGGCGGCGTCGACGGAGATTGTGTAGGCGGTGCCGCGCGGGTCCTGGCTGTGCTGGACCATGGGCGGCAGGGCGAGGGCGTCGGCGCGGGCGTGGGTGATGGGGGCGCAGATGAGGCCGGAGGAGTGGCGGACCATCCAGGCCATCTGCTCGGTGGTGACGGAGTCGGCGGCGATGATGAGGTCGGCCTCGTTTTCGCGGGAGGGATCGTCGAGCACGACGAGGAACTCGCCTCTACCTGCGGGGTGAGTTAGTCAATTGGCCAAAACCGAGAGTGAGAGGGAGACCAGTGTCAAGAAGAGGGAGAAAGCTGCAAGGGCGAGAGGACATACGGAAGGCCTCGATGGAGTCGGGGATGGAGTCGAATTGACTCTGATCTATGGTGGAGGAAGGCATGTCGCTGATTTTGGGTATTATCGCACTGTTCTCAATGAGGCAGTTTTTGTACAATTCGAATTGATCGCTTATCCGAGAAGAGAGAGAGTGAGAGTGAGAAAATGTCGAAAAGTCAAAAATGGTTGAATGGTTGGAATATGGCGATGCGAAAGACTTGGGGGAGAGTCAAGTCAAGTCACCGGGTGACTTTTTGTTCGATGGACTTCCACGGGCCTAGGGTCGCTTTTGGGCGGGCCAGAATTCCGAGTGCCCTGCGATTTTTGGACTGGATCTCGGGCCGGCACTTGCGGCGCCGAGCTGAGAGACTTGCGAGAGAAAGTTGGAGGGGCTGGTTTTTGGCGTTGGGGGGGGGGATTTTGAAGCGACCCGAGTTTGTTGCGGCAAAGCCGAGAGCTGGGGAGGGATGGAGGATGGAGGGGCTGAAAATGCCGAAGCGTGTGTGTTCTGTTCTGTCAAGGGCGTGGCACGGAGATGGTTCGCGAAGTTTGTGGGTGAAAGAGTATCCGAGGCTCGACGTCGCTTTTTTGTTTTTTTTGCTTCTGTTTCTTGGTTGTGTGCTTCTTCTCGATTTTGGATTCAGGTTTCGTTTTATGATCAGGGTATCATGAGATGAGAAAGAACAAGTCCAAAGGGACCAATGCCGTACACAACAGTAGAGAGAGTTGTAACTAGAGACAGCAGAACATCACATGGGAAACGAATTGCACTCTTCCATCTGGATGGGCGCTGCAGCCAGAATATAAACAAAAACGCCCAGGTTATTCGTTATAACTCAAAAGGCCGCGACCTCGGTGCGCCGGTTCCGCTAACGTTGTGCCGGTCTTATGATGATGGCATCAGGACTAATCCAGATGCGTGCTTGTCAGCTTTTTCCCGCTCGTGCTGTAAGTGCAGAGTAATGATGTGTAAGCCGAGGCGTGGAGAGCGCTAGGGCGGGTTTGCGGTGTTTTAGCAGCAAAAAGGCACGGATTGTGTACCTAGAATTCACATGTCGGAATTTGATTACAAAGAACTTGAAGCCAAGACGGTCATGTTAATTGCTGGCCAGCTGCAGAGAGAAATACAACTTGGGTAGTTGTGAATTGATTGATATTGGCAATTTGATGACGGAATTCTCGTCAAAATAGAGAGATGATATTCAAGTCCAGTCCCAACTGTTACTACACCAAGGCACATCTACCTAGTACTCATAGAAACTCCCCCAAAACAACAAAAGAGCAATGCCTCCAACTCATCCATCGAATCATGTTCCCCCAATACAAAAGGCTATCCGTTCATACAGTATTACCGCAACAACATCCGTAGCAACAGCCAGCAGTAGCCAACCGCGCGGGTATCATGCCCGATTTTCCTCGCCGCGGCCAGCCCCCACAAAGTCCCGCGGCACGCCGGCGACCTGCCCCTCCACTGGAAGATTTGCAGAATTGGGGGAAATTCGGAGTTGGTCTCTTTTTGTTTGTCAGCCGGGGACCCTTTGTGCATGGGCATGCATTCCCGTCCGTTGAAGCGTTGACATCACACACCTCCGTATCCTCCGAGCCTCCGAGCCCCCCCGCGTGTTTCTTCCTCCATCCCTCGTTCTCTGGTGTCTCTCGTCCGCTTCCGCTCAGATGGCCGCGCCGACCCGCGCTGTGGCCGTGGCAAGCGGCCTGTCCCGGCTGGTGTCTCGTTCTCGTCCACGGCTGCCGCCAATGGCCTCTATCTCTGTTCCTACTACAGCAACGACGGCGGCATCGTCGCGATGGCACTCGGGCTTCTCGTCCGTCAACCCCAACGAGGTCTCGCACTTCAACGCCCTCGCCGCCGAGTGGTGGGAGCCGCACGGGTCATCCCGCCTGCTACACCTCATGAACCCGCTGCGCCACGACTTCATCCGCGCCTGTCGCGAGTCCTCCGACGACCCCAATTCCGTCACGTACCTCGACATTGGCTGCGGCGGCGGCATCTTTGCTGAGAGCGCCGCCCGCCTAGCTTCCACCAAGCACGTCACCGCCATCGATCCCACGCCGTCCGTCCTCAACGTCGCAAAAGCACATGCCCGCAAAGACCCTTCGCTAGCGGGCAAGCTGTCGTATCGCCAGTCTTCGGTCGAGCAGCTCGAGGTGCCCGCCGAGGGCCAGGGCTACGACATCGTGACGCTCTTCGAAGTCATTGAGCACATTGACGATCCGGGGGCGTTTCTGGAGCGCGTGCGCCCGCTCGTCAAGCCTGGCGGGTGGCTCGTCATGAGCACCATTGCGCGGACGTGGGTCAGCTGGTTGACGACGAACCTCATTGCCGAGGACATATTGCGCATTGTGCCGCCGGGAACGCACGATTGGAATAAATACATTAATGAGAGCGAGTTGAGGGGATATCTTGCCGGCAAGGGCTGGGACAGCGCAAAAGTAATGGGCGTTGTCTATGTCCCCGGGTTTGGGTGGAGGGAGGTCAAGGGCAGCGAAAAGGTGGGCAACTATTTCTTTGCTGTGCGCAAGGCGTAGAGGGGAAGAAAAAGCAAAAAGTGGTGAGAGAGTTGCCACGGGTGAAGCATCACGGGCTACCTGCTTGTAAAAATAAACACGCGTGTATCAATACCTATGGCTTTGGGAGATTTGATACCCCTTTGATGTCTTACGAAGATCACGATGGGACACGGACGGCGCAAACGCCACTGTACGATAGTCGATAGAAAGGGGAATAACCTCATTACACTAGAGGAAGGATCGGAAAAGGGTGAGAAGCTTTCTCGGTCATGTAGCTTCAAATTATTTATTTCTTGCTGGGTATCACTTTGCACAACCTGCATTCCTACCAACTGGAGCACCATAAATCAATCTCATTTGATGGCCACCACTTGTTCCTTCATCTCGCTTCCCTCTTGAGTCCTCTTGTACCGCCTCCTCTCGTTTGGTGCTCTGCCTCAAAAACAAGCGACTCGTTTGCATCGTCTTCGTCTTCATCTTCGTCATCTATATCGCGCCGGTTTTGCTCTGCTTGCTTCCAGCGTTGGATTCTTCGCTTCATTGCCTCGTCCAAGTAAAACTCATGATCAAACCGGGCTCGAGAGAACATCTTCCGTTAATGTTAGCGTAGTGTCAAAGGGAGAGTGCAATAGGCAGTGTGTGCAAGGCTCACCTGAGAACAGCCCGTCTGGGGGCATTGGTGCTCGCCCCGGGGCGTCAGGTAATCCAAAATGGCAGACTTTTCAAAAGTATGCGGGCACTTGCGGCTTCTGTATGGCTCCGTCATTGGAAGGAGAGTCAAGGGGCAGTTTATGCTAATCGTTTCCCGCTGGACAGCTATGTCGTCGTCGTCATCATCTCGGGTGCTATTCTGCCCATCACGATTCGGGGTTGCCATGTCCGGCTCGCCATTGGACAGGAACCATCGTGAGGCATCTGGCAGAGGAGGGCCATCTTCGCCTGCTGCAGCTTCATGCCACAGCTTCTTGAAGCCAGCATAGTCATTATTCAGAGCGTACCGCCGGTGGACGTCAAGGCTTGTGTATTCGGCCCTCTTCTTGGCGCGGAGCTCACGAAACGTATCGACGATGCTCGTCACGGGCCCCTCTTCGTCTTCATCTTGCCTCTCAGCATCCTCTTCTTCGTCGCTGGTAGCTCCGGCGGCCTGTCGTCGTCGGCTTTGGGCAGCAGCCGCCCCTCTCGTCTGAGCTATTGTGTTGGTTGTGGCGGTCGTGCTGAGCTCCTCCAAGACAATAGCCTCGTCCTCTAGCTCGGCTCTTCGGTCAATGGTATCTCTGAGCGCACGCTCGGAGTCTCGCGTCAGCCTCTCCACCTCCTTTTCGAATTCGGGAATCTCCTCTTCCAGGCGCTCCTCTTCGGCCGTCTTGGCCGTGCCCTTCTCCTCACGACGCTCACGGACTGCAGCCAGTCGATCCTGGCCTCTGCGTAGGCGCTCGTTCAGATCGCTTACGCTAAGGCCAAGGTTGCGGATGGAGTCCTTCAGCTGGCTCTCATAAGGCGCAGCGCCGCGGTTGTTCGAAAGCTCGATCAATTCTTGCCGGGCGGTATCGGATAGAGGGAAAGATAGTGGCTCGTAGTCGGGGAGGGCTGTGACAGTGGTGGAGGTGCTGGTCGATGAGGCAGCAGCACGGCCGCCGCGATTGAAAAGACGGCGCGACATGGTGCTAACTTGACAATATCTCAGATGTCGGCTATCATGAGAGCATCTTTGTGAGAATTGGCTGGCAGGACTCCTGCTTGCAGATCTATCCAATGGTGGGGGTTTGAAGACGCGATTAACAGACGCGATCCGCAGTGAGTGCATCTACTTTCTTACCTAAGCCATTTGGCCGCCTAGCACTCAATGGTGCTCCTGCTTCCGCAACTTTTACGAAGATCATTTTTTGTTAGAAGATTCATATCAGGATGCTAAGAGCTTTTGCGCCCGATTTCTATGAATACTCATGACAATGAAAACTTCAATTTCGTCCAGAGGCAAGCGTGGAGATGCTACGACCAAAAAGCTGAACAGTCTCCTACGAGCACCTACGAGTATGCAGAACAGCCAGGGTTCGGCAGCTTCTCCATGGCTGGCACAACACCGCCGGCCACACACTCTCTATTCATTCCATGCTTAAGCAGTCGCCTTTGACTTACCGCTTCGTGAACATTCATCTTGACTGACTCCATCTCTATTAAGCAATCATTAGCTCTGCGATTCGCAAACGATGCCTAGCTAGGACTCGGCGCATCCTGATCCCGATCCCCTTGCTAGGTTACTTGGGGCAGCGGCATCAATTCCGTTATACGATGTTGCATGGAGTATCGCTAAGACAGGTGGGCTTGGACAAGGCATGCAGTAGCAGGTCATCGTGATGAATGTGCAGCTGAGCACAAGATGCTGCGGGCGTGGGAACGCCTGACTACTTTGGCAGCCCAGCCTCACAGGCATCGGCCTTGTGCATTTGTCTGTCCGCCACGGCGCCAACTCGAGACTCTCTTGCCAGTCAGACCCCTGCAAGCCGAACACAAGACACAGGAGAACGGAGCAGCAATTTGGACTTGCGGTATCTTGAGCCTGTCTTGACCAGGTACGTGGATCCCGGTGCTACAACTGTATTTCCAAGCCCACTCATTGAGGCCTGTTGCAGCCACCGCTGCAAGGAGCCTGCGGAATTCAATGAATCCTTCAGCCTCACCTGTCACTTCATGCGGAATGTCTCTCACCGGGTCTCCATACTCGCCGTAACTGTGCAGCTTGGCTTGAGGGTTACTGCATTTTTGGTCTCAGCTCTTGGTCTCCCTTGCTGGATGTTGGAGGCGATCAGCAAATGATTTGATATCCAATTACTACCAAGTACAAAGCAGCTACGAGCATCGTACTACTTCTGGATACCGATGGTCACAAGCTGATACCACATGTACGGTGAGCAACGGAATAGCCTGCTTCCCGAGCAACGGGTGTTCATGATCCATCGCAGCCGGACGACTCTCAACTGTGGACCAACATATGATTGTTGAAGCAAATCACAAGTATTGAACGCCGCATTCCTGCGCCCGCGTTGAAAACAGACGCATGTCGAGAGTCTAGAACTGAGACTTGCGGACGAAAGCCACAAGAAGCGTCATGGCCGCAGGGAACTTGCCGCCCTAAGGCGATCCACACCCATGGACAAACATCGTGTGGCATTGACCAGCATCAGAGGCTGGGATTTCAGATCGTTCTTTCATCAAAGGGCAGCCATTCGCCCGATCGCCATATTGACCCAGGCTACCGCCATCGGACCAATCAACTAGCTTCTCCCGGCCGTCTGCAGCCATCGGGAGCTCCACGAAGTTTGATGGCTTGAGCTTGGACGCTAACAAGATCAAGCGCGAGATGCCCAGCGCAGATGATAGTGCGCTAACATGGACTCCTCAAGCCGCTCTCGATGGTGGCCAAAGCCTCCCGCATCTACGATCTGAGATCGGTACTCTGTATCGATGATTTCCAGCTTTGTAGAGGCTGCCCCTGCACATATCTGCAGGCTCCCCAGCGCCCCCGGCTGTTAGCCTTTTGCCAACTCAGTTGCGCCATGACTGCGTCAGGATCAAACTTGGCCCCCCCCCCCCCTGGTCTGTCAAAGTTCAAAGCCCTACCCAGTAGCAGCAAGGAGCAAACTGGAGGGAGTGGTATCAAGCTTCGGATGGAGCCTCCCAATTATCCCGGGTGGCCGTCTTGTCTTGTGCTCTTTTCCCATTCCGCAAAATATCTTACCTCCTATCCACTCGGTGTACTCGTAAATCTATCCCTTAACTTAGAATGGTCCTTGGATGATGCTGCTATTTAGGAGCTCCTCCCCCGACTCTGTACAGTCGAGAATCTCTTCCACCCTCAGTAGCTTCCTCGATATCCAAAGCCTTGGACGTATTTCAGCAACTGGCACATCCTTGCGATTTCTCCTACGCCACTCAGTAGGCGTAAACGTCAACACCAAATGCAAGGGGCACCAATCATGGTGTCTTCAGGGTCTTCAGGATTGCCATTGCAGCTGAATCCTTGGGAAGACCAGGCCCTCAACGTACGTTCTCGCCTCTTGACCGGGGTGGTGGCAGTGTGACCAGCACCGATATTAACTCTTTATGCAACCAGTACGAGTTTCCAACCCAGCCTGCTACTCATGCAGGAAACGACAACACTGCTGTCCCGGCTTGGATACAGCTTCAAGACCCAATCATATATCCCGGAATCTACTCCGCTAGCGGCATTGATGTTATGGGTGTCCTGGTAAGAAAGCACTTCTCCTATACTGCTCCTTCGTACCGGGGTCAACAAACGTTTCTAACTGGCCTATAACTAGCTGCGCGTGATGTCTCGACCGAATCCTTGCATTGATATCGGGCCTCTCGACTGCTCTGTGTCGCTCACGTTATGCGATCTCAGCCAACCCAACGCGCCCATCGTCTACGCCTCCCCTGGTTTCTACGAACTGACTGGCTACTCTCCCCAAGAGACTGTGGGCAGAAACTGTCGGTTTCTGCAATATCCCCCTCGTGTGCAGCCGCCGGCCAGATCCGGTCCTTCAGACAGTCACGAGCCCGTTACAATGATGCGACATGCCATCCGGACCAACCAAGAAGTTCAGGTCCATGTACTCAACTATAAGAAGAACGGCACCGCCTTCACCAATGTCGTCACCATATTACCATTGTGGGCCGATAATACCGGGCATCACTATGCCGTCGGATTCCAAGCCGAGTTATAGAGACTTGGTATTCGCGTTGAGACGGCTCTCTGAGCTTTCTGCAGCAACACTTTCGCCGGGGTCCACATCCATTCTACTTTTTGTTTTTTTTTCTCCTTTTTTTAAAGTATTTAAGCACATTGGTATTCAGGCCAGCATATAGCAATGCTCTGGAGCGCTTGATATTCGATCACGAACAGTACAGTACAGGCCAAAACATACTAGGTATCTACCTATTGGTGCTGAAGAGCTACATGAGAAGCACCAGTTTGTTCACTTTACATGGTTTCACGCCGACGAGATAGACTTTTCGCGTTTATGGTAGTTTCACGGCGGGTTCGGGGCGTATACGTATACGATTATGACATGGTTTGCTTTTTTCGCGGGAGTTTAAGCCGGGCAGTATGATCTTGAAGGTGGCAAAAGAGACAAGCCTTATGAATAGTACACGTAGAGATTATCAGGAAATATTGGTCATGATACACGAAGATATTCCAAAATACATTTAATATCAGACACTCCGATAGTTATATAAACAATACCACGCCCAAAAGCACCAAAACACGCAGCATTTACTCTCATCTATGGAAACTCTCATAACCTCCGTGTGCATCATGTCAAACATCCAAAGGCATCTACTTCCTCAGGCGACTAGACCGGCGACGACCCTGGTCTTCCTCCACCACTTCCTTTTTAACAGGAGCAGGCTCCGATTTGCTCGCCGCCGGCGCTGCCTTGCCCCGTCTCTTCTTGGCAGGGGGGGCCGCATCATCAGCCTCTTCAGACTCTTCCTTGACTACCGCCGCCTGCTTTCGTGATCGTTTTGGTTTCTTCTCTTCGGCCACCTCGTCTTCATCATCTTCTTCTTCCTTTAGTTTGCTCTTCGCTGCCTTACCCTTTGCGGGCTTGCTCTTCCCTGATTCGCTCTTCACGGGCTCCGTCTTTGCGCTGGCAACAACGGCACCGGTTTTCTTCTGCACGCCTGGTGCGTAGCAGCTCGTCCGTCCGCCGACAGTGATGAAGGCGAGCTTTTCTCCGTTGGGGAGCTTAGTCGCTGCATCTTTGTCGCCCTTGCCCCATCGGTAGTTGAAGAGCCAGTGATCGGGAAACTCATCCGAGTCGCCCAGTTTGTCCACGGCCAGTTGGCAGACATAACGGATGGATTCGTGCAGCTTTGCGATTTCCTTTTCATCAAATGTATCGGAGTATTGCTCCGGGTGGAGTTTGGCTTGGTAGAGGGTCTCATCAGCGACCCAGTTGCCGATACCGCTGATCATGGCTTGGTCCAGCAGCAGGGCCTTGATGGGGACGTGCCGGGACTTCATCTTGCCGCGCAGATATTCCTCTGTGAAGATGTCCTTGTCGACAACGGGATCAGGTCCGTTCTCCACAAGGGGCGAATGCTTTCGAATGGATTCGCCAGGACAGTTGACAAGACGCACGCGTCCAAACCTCCGGGCATCGGTGAATGCGACTTCGACGGGCTCCTTGTCATCTGTGCTGAGGTGGAACTTCCAAAACTTGGGGGGCCATTGAGCAATGTCACTCTCCTTCATTTTCTTGTAGTAGTTTGTATAAGCCGTCTTCTCGCCATTTATGTGTACCCAGCCTGTATGCTAGACATGAGCGGTGTGAACTGAGGAGCATTGCCTGTATGGGTATGCTTACCCGTCATGCCAAAATGCATTACCAGATGCGGTGGCTTGTCTAACGTTATCCTTTCTCAAGCGTTAGCGAAAGTTCGCCAAGTAGTTATTGAGATAGTTTGATTCATCATACCAGAAATATTTTCCTTGAGAGCCGGCGGAGACAACCTGGCGCCGTTAGATATGACACGAAATCTCAAGATTTGTGACAGGTTGGTCATACCGTTCTGCCTTTCAGAGCTTCCTCAACCTCCTTTCCACTGGTTCCGACCTTGCCAAATACGCTGCTATCATCTATGGCCGCAGCATTGGCGATGGTCTTGCCCACCAGCCTCTTGCGGAGGTAGTGTACAATACGGGCAACTACAGCATGTTAATTATATAGTTCTTTGGGGCTCCAGAGAGAAGAATACGTTCCTTCAGCTATCTCAGGCATGTTTATGAGTGTCGCTTGCTAAGATCCAAATGAGATACGACAGAAGACGCTTGAAAATTACTTTTCACTCTGATTCATACAATTGGAGCAACACCTTGTGAAATCACGTCGTCAGCCACGCCTTTGTCACTGTCCTAACGCGAGGCGACGCGAAATCACGTGCGTGCTTACAGAAGCAAAAATTCTAGCCGGCCCACAACCCCACCTGTAAAAGCTATGAAAACATTTCTGCCGAAGCTTTTTTCTTTTTTTCTTTCCACCATCCGCCATGCGCAGAATTTTGCCATTGCAAAGCTCAATGTAAGTTTTGTGTGCTGCTTTTTCTTGTTGCCCTCAGTCCTCCTACCTGATGATACCCTAAATCCGCAAACTAGAGTCTTTGACCACTGGAGTGAAAACACCGTTTAGCACGTCAGTCTGAACCATTATCGGACAGCTGAAATATTTTTCTTGTTGCATTCAGCCAATTGAGCGCTTTTGCTAACTGTCTGGATAGAATATGAATGCCGAGTGGTATCGAGCTTGAATATCTTGCCGGCAATCTTGCGCCATCGACGTGTAATACTTGGTAGGTCGCAACTTTTTTTTTCTTCTGCTCGCGCAATATGATGATCAATTTACAACTATATACGCTGGAAATTACCGGCTGAGGTCTCCTTTGACGATATTCTTAGGCTATTACTGATTTGCCCCTTCAATGCTCTTTTCTTGTTGACTACAATCATGGTGGCATTAGCTGACTCGGATGAATAGATTCACTTGACAAGGTATGCCGTCTTGATACTGCATCTCCTCCATCATTCCGATGTTAGATGATGAAACGGCACTGGGCTCCGATTTTTATAATGAGCAAGACACGCCATTTTGCGGCAGGCCTAGAAAACCTCGCCCACTGATTCTATCTCATGGATGTTTCATGTTGGATCAACCGATGCTGGATATCAAAGCTAATTCCTTGGTATCAGTGGTCTAGTGACGTGTGCCCTGTATGCATTCAATCGCACTACAGTACATTTCATATTCATCAAGGTAAGTTTTACTCATTTTCTGCCTCATCCTAGCCCAGCATCATGTGATGATTTTAGATGACGAGTCCTATTCGGGTTTCCGATGAGGATAACAACCTTACCTACCATTCATGCATTCCCTGATTTATGATCCAACATTTATCCTTGTTCTGCTGAAGCTTGTATGTAAACTTTGGCTAACATCTGAAAGTGATATTGTTAGTTACCCACATACTCTTTTTGCAACCCAGCTTTCTCGTGATGAGCTCGAATAAACAATGACAAGCATATGTCTGAGCTTCACGCGACGAAGACAAAATGTTCGCAACTGATCTGAAATCATTCACATCACGCTGTAGATTTGCAAGACATTGGGCTGTTGGCTAACTGGCTCGAAAGATGACTTGCCCCAATCCGTGGCGTACTCTTCTTGCATGTGACTCCATTGGTAAGAAACCCCTTTTTTGTTTACTCTCCTTTTGCATTTACATGATGTACAAATATCACGACGGTCAACTTAGCCATATGCTCTGATGATAACGCCTGTGACAAGGCACCTTTAACCCTGACAATTCACACATTTTCTTCGTCTTTTTATTGCCGCATGCCTTTAAGCATCGTGCTAACAGATGATTTTCAGGTCCCGCAGTTCTCTCAACCTCGTATTGATGTGAATTTTCGACACCAAGTGGTGCTGGCCAATATCGAGTCTCTACCAAGTGGTAGTTGTAACTGGTATCTTAGTCCATGCAGCATGGACTGCCGTAAACGTCATGTCGCCGTTGGATCATTGTACAGTTGGCCCCGGACCGTAATGATGAGGTCTTTGACTGGCTTAGTACAAAGAGAATACCGCTCTCTGCAGCTCATCAATATCATATCTAATATACAAGTCTATCTTGCACTACGCCAAGTTCTCACTTTACCTGTGATATACTCTACTTTTGTGATGTTCATAGATGCGAATCTACCCAGTATGCTTAGTAGCCCTTGGTGAGATTGAAATTTTATCTCTGGTTAGTCTGTCCGGGAGAAGATTTTCCTCCTATCAAGTATGTAGCGCGGCGTGTATCCGAAGCCATCGATAAGCCCGCTAAAATGGGAAGGTTTGAAAGCGTGAAGGAGATAGGTAGTATATGCGGAGAATGACGAATAGGATGGAAAGATAGGGCATCAGAGTGTTGAAAGGGCCCTCGATGCTACAAGATATGGGCAACAGATGAAATGACAGCCTGCCAAAAAAGGCTCGTCGTCAAAGATGTGGAGACTGCAGCCATGATGGTGCGAATACTCGTATCGTACTTTCAAGTTGACGGCGGCGTACAAATATATGGAGACAAAAAAGCAATAGTTGGTTCTCGTCAGCGCCTAAACATTTGGAGCAAAGCATTCTGAATGTCCATGATAGGCCGGTGAGGGCGCATATGGCCTTCGATTTACGCATCCAACTTGTCTTGTGTAACACGGATCTAAACCAGCGCCATGGTTTTGGATTCCGGAGGGAGAAGCGTGGTGGCGTGGAACATGTGTTGGCCACATGCCCAATGACACGATGTTGCGTCCCTACGGCAGCACAAAGAGCCTCAAGAGGAGAATCCCCGCCAGTGTCTCTTGGCAGGTCTTCCCAAGACGCGAGAAGGCGCGAGAAGGTGGAGGGGAGAGGCTTAATTCTTGTACGTTTGCCGATTAAGCCGACTGGAGACTAAGTAAGAACATTCGATGTGACCTTGGCTCGGCAGGATCAGAGCCCTCGACACCTGTCAAATGCTGGGTCGAAAAATAGATGAAGAGGAAGACGCTACTCTGGACGCCAAGGGTATGTTTAGCGCCGGCAGCGCGCCAGGATATTGCACGGGGGTGGGCAGAGTTGTCGAGGGCGTTTTCGTGTGAAGGGGCTTCAGTGTTTGGTGATGGGAGGTCAGCTTATGCAGTTTTATCGTGTACGCAAGTAACAACATCTTAGCAGCTTGTTCAAATCGTCTTGCTGGATTTTGGGTATCAACACGACAAGATGCCTGCCTGTCTTTGCTCGGTAAAAGCATGAAGATGCCCCCCCTGTTCATTGAATCCTACTTTAGCTCTGGACCGTTACCCCTGCTCAGCAAAGGGTCTTAAGCGCTGCCTCTGGGTGGGAGTGACCTTAGCATCTTCTCTTTGGCGTACAACATGTACGAGTACATACTCGTACTATCCATCAAACTACTCCCACAGAAACCTTGGTAAAGGCGCTCAATCCTTCTCGCCAGCCCCCCCTGGACTACGAGTATGTCGTGTCTTCCTTTTCCTCACCTCATAGGCCGATTCCGGTTCCACGACGGCATATGTCTCAGAGAGCCAGGCAGACTGCGGCATTGCGCCTCGACGATAATTGGATCGTCACGTTCGGAATAACGCAGGCTGAATGGCTAGTGGCCAGTGAGGAAGAGCTGAGTGACAGGCATTCGAGGAGGAGGATTCAACTCCTTGCAGCTATTGGTGGGTGTGCTGGCTAGACTTTGTGCAGTCCCAGGGGGGTGACTTTTTTCCGTCTGTAAGAGTTGAAGGAATCCCATTGAAACCAGGCTTATGCTGTTTTGAGGTGGTATTAATGTGGCATCGCTCAAGGCATTAACATGAGCCACACGTGAAATAAGACCCGCGGAAGGCTGTCTTTTCATGTCTGGTTTTCGTCTCCCCACGCTACTGTATATTACATATCTGCGCTGGCGCTTCCCGTCCGCCGTTGCATTCACCACTTTGATCTGCGACGAGAGCTGCGTGATATGGTGTTTCCTTGACCTGTCGTTGGGAGAAACTGGCATCTTGTTAGCCTTGTTGCCGCCACCGATCTCTCCATCAGGCGTCTCGCCATGGCCCTTCTCACAAGCCAGGCCGGCACTTTGCTGGGCCCTCTGACCACAACATGGACTATGCCCGAGACTTGCTCGATTTACCTACAAGGATTCAGAGGGCAGTCCTGCAATTCCGAAAGCGGCGGCCGAGTGCAGGATAACACGGAGTGTTGGCCACCAGCTAAGTCGGGGATTGCGTCTCCATCATGGCCGTTTGTGGGTTGGGGATTCTACTCTCCCGGCATTGCGTGTCCGGCAGGATATACGACTGCGTGCACGGCAGTGTACGGGCAGCGGGCGCAATGGAGTATCCAATTCACCCTGGTGTCGTCGGAAACTGCCGTGGGATGTTGTCCAACGTAAGTAGAATCTGGTTTGAGACGAGACGTCGATTTGTTATGCCGCATCTTCCTGCTGGACGAACCAAGTCATTGAGGGATAGCTTCGCTTTGGAAGATTACTCTTCGCAGCAAATTAACAAGTTAGCTAACTCGACCATTCAACTAGGGGGTTCGCATGCGACAACCTCAACGGAAATACATGCGTTCTCACGGCTTCGGACACAGAAATTCCAACGGCCTCTTGCGATGGCACCTCAATCATCGATTCTGGCTTGGAGGAATTCCCTCATTTCTTCACGGTCACTGACACGAATACAGCCGGAACCTTGACCCACTTGACCTTCTCACAGTCAATAGTCTTGCTCGCCCCCATGTTCCAGATCAACTTCCAAGCCACCGATTTACCTGCCTCGACAACCACGGCAGCCACTACACTATCAACGGCTACAACAAGAACAACTTCCTCGACAATTCAACAAACTTCAACTTCCGCAGCGGATAACAGCGTTGGGAAAGGTTCTTCGGGGCTCTCTGACGGAGCCAAAGTCGGGTTGGGTGTTGGCCTCGGCCTCGGAGCGGCCTTTTTACTCGCTTTCGCCGGCTTTATCTACTACTACCGACGCTCGAAGAGATCCCAGATACCCGTCAGCAGCGAGCTTCCAAGCAACGAGGTTTCAGAAGCCGCGGAAACTCCCAAGGTCAAGACGTTGCCTGGTCAGGTGTACGAAATGGGAGACTATCAGGCCCCCGCTGAGCTACCTACCCGGTGGTAGCCATGAAGGAGAGCATCTACAAGCCGCTTCGAGATCCGCTTAATGGGGTGGATGAAAAAAGAAAGGGGATTAATGTTGTAATGAAATATTTGTCGGCGACATGCAAGAACCGGGCAACTAGAATCGCACGGTTTGCAGGAAAGCTTGAGTTGCAGGACTCTGTTGATAACCCACTGCAAAGCGGCGCATGGACAAGGAGCTAGGGTTGGATTTTCCTTTATCGTTTTGAATACCACGTTTCATGACTTGCTGAGTAGCGAGCGGCGGGCGGATTTGATACTTCTATTTATCTATTTACAAGGTATTTTCGATTTCTCTTGCGGCCATGTTCCGCGAATCACCATCTATCCGCGCAACTATCCGGCCGCCTTGCTTCCGTCCCGCACCGATGCTGCGTCAACAAGTGGCTCAGACTCGTTTGTACGCAAGACATGTAGCATTCGACTCATGGAGCCTTCGAAAGAACTTTCCGTTTGGAGAAGCGGGATGTGGAATAGCTCGTCAATTTGCTTGGCACAAGGACCACGAATCTCTTCGGGCTCCGCGCAAGACGGGATTCGCGGGCGCCGCGGCCGGGGCGCAGCATCGGTTGAGATTGCTGGAGTACGAGTACGACGGATAAGTTTGGCGGACGATTTGAACCAGGAAGACGATAAATAAACAGTCAATTGATGGAAGCTCAAACATGAGGTTATCACAACGTTGCAAGAAACAGGGTTTTAACGTATTTTATGGCGTGCTCCGAATATACACTGTACAGGCGAATGGCTGATCTACTTAAACCTGGACTTAAACTCATGATGGATATAAAATTGCCAACCCTGGAGATCTAAACGAAAACGAGTGGCCAACCAACCAACAGCCACTCAACCGACAAAGATCTAGATTTTCCTCCCCCTTTTACCCCACAAAATAGAGCTGCGAATTACGCGCATTCCATCAATCTCACTCCAATTTCTCCGTACGGCTCGTATTAGCGAGGCGTATTAGTGAAGAAAGCCGTGCCGCATAACTGCTGCAAGATGCTTGTCTTGAAGTGAACGAGAACGTCATCAATGCGACTCCTCCATCCGGCAATTGATCGAAAAGGAATTCGGATATCATATCGAAAAAGGGCCCCCAATCTTGGGCGTTAATTCGTCACCGCCCCCTTTAATCAATTCGCTGCTAGACACAAAACTAGCCCGTATTCGTAATTTGACTGGGCCGTAACACTGGCACCAGCCAATCTTTGCTGGCCAGGTGTTGATGGAAACACACAGATAAAAGAGACAAAAATCTTTCTTCACAAACAGACAGACAAACAAAACTCCCCCCATTGACTCGTGGCGACTTAAGCTTGGGCTTCCTTCTCTCTTCCCTTCTCTTTTCCTTCCATACTTTTTCCTCTTCGTCAGCTACCTATCACTCATTTTGCTCGTCGAATTCTAAGCCAGCAATGAATAGCACTGTCGAGCAAGTCATGGCAGATCTGCCGCTTCACCCTTTCTCACCCTTTGCCGTCGAGCTGCCAACCTACGTCGCCAACACACTTTCGGCGCCCGTCCTGGTATCAATCTTTGCTGCGGGATGTTCTGTCATCTTCCTCATCACGTATGGCTTCATTCAGCGGATGAGGCCCTCCATGGGCAGCGGTGAGATGTTGGTTGCCATGTGGTTCGCCCTCTGCGGCTGCATCCATCTCTTTTTCGAAGGTGAGCAAGCTTGTCAAGTTTGTTGATTTCACATGGAATACTCTCATCTAGTCTTTCTGCTTCAATGGAGTCGAAATCTAACATGCAAGCAGGCTATTTCTCCTACAATGCCTTCGACATGGCTGGCAGAACAGACCTCTTTGGCCAGCTCTGGAAGGAGTATGCCCTCTCGGATTCTCGCTACATGACCCAAGATGCCTTCACCGTCTGCATGGAGACTGTCACTGCTGTTTTCTGGGGGCCCATGTCCTTTTTCTGCGTCTACTTCATCATCGCCGACCACCCGCTGCGCCACCCCTTCCAGATCATCATCAGCCTGGGCCAGCTGTATGGCGATGTTCTCTACTACGCTATCTGTACTTTCCAGGAGGTTGTCAACGATGTTGTCTACTGCCGGCCTGAGCGATTCTACTTCTGGGCTTACTATTTCCTCTGCAACTTCTTCTGGATTGTCATTCCATTGCTGCTCATCCGATCGAGCGTTAACGAGATCGCAAGCGTGTTTGCCAAAGTCAAGGCGGCATCTGTTGGAAAGAAGGCTCAGTAAAAAAAAGGAGGGCATTGTGCGAATTGTGCCTGCAATGAGATTCGAGAGGAAAGATTATTATCATATGGTATAGATAAAAATTGATGCTATTTTCTTCTTCTTTTTCCTATTTTGAAGCCTTGCAATCATGACCATTCCATTATTAGGGTGTTTAATTCTGACATGTACTTCCTCTGCACCACCTAAACAAAACTAAGGTGACAAAAACGCCATCGCTATGCAAAAAGATCCAGATAAATTGACAAAAGATTTCGTCGAGTTAGGCATTATTCCAATTGGCCCTCGATGCCTGACTTTATACCTTCAAGCACAGGACCCCACTGGCTGCTCGTTCTTTGGGTCCGAATCTCGCTAAATCGGTCGCTGGCAATTTTGCGGACGAGAATGGTGTCCTTGGCCTTTTTGAGATTTCTTCCGTCGCCTGTCGAGAGGTATTCCTCAAACCACTCTTCTTCGATGGAGTCAAAAGGCAGGAAAGCCAACTCGCCTGCCTGTTCTGACTTATTACCGAGCGTTTCTGCAATCAATTGCCGGAAGAGTTGCTCGCGGGTATGCTCAGGATGTGTTCGGGAATAAAGAAGCGCCTCAGTAACATTGGTTTGAGCCATGGCGCCAAAGATGAGTTCGAGGGCCTTGGAAGTCTTCAAGACTGGCTGAACGGTGTGGAAATAAGACAGCGCAAGATCATAGCCACCGTCCGAGGCATTCTGAACCAGTGCGATGATAATATCATCTGCAAAATCCGATACCAGCGATGGATGGGCGACGTATTCCAGAGCGGCCTAGCAAGCCGTTAGTTAGTAAGGTCCTTGTTTTGGCGAATGGATTGCTACATACCGAAAATTCGAGGCCATCCATGTACCACAGCCCCTTCATGAATATCTCGTACTTCTGTGGCATGCTGGAAGCAGAAGCAAAATTTTCTGACAGAGATGCTTGGCCCTCAACCGTGTCGAAGTCTAGGAGAACATAGTAGATCAAAGACAGCTTGTGGTGCATCGACATGTTGCTTTCGCAAATTTGTTGGTGGAGCTGTCGGACTCCATTGTCGTTCTTTGGAGGATACACCTTGCCTGTGGAATACAGGGTCAGCTTTTAGTCCCAATGTCTATACAAGCTCAGCCAAACTGACTCTTGCTGATGCCCAATGCTTTCAGCACACGATCAATGAAGAGCTGTCCGCCCAGCTCTTTCCGACGCGCCTCGATTTCGTGTATGCGCTTGCGGTCATAGGGCATTTGAGCTCCCGGTGGGAAAACCTTTTGGTAGTCGGTGTATTCGATCATTGTTGTAGAGTATCGAGGCAAATCCAAATATTGGGGATTCGTTTTGAAGGGAGAGAAAACGAAGGCTAGTAGTATTCAGGTTGTAGGTAGTTATCAAAAATGAAGCTCCCAGGGCTGCTGCAGTCACTAGCTTCAGTGCTCTAACTGGAAGACTTGATGCTTGTCGCGACGTCACGTGCAGCTGCCTCTCAGCTTGAGACGCCGCCAGCCTTATAGCGCTGAAGCCACTGAAAAACAGCCACGAGACAGCGGCCGTGGTGGGGTGCGAGGCACGTACCCATTGTTTACAAACCACGTACTTGGACATTTCCAAACAAAGCGCGGGGTCTAGCAAGATCGAGACTCTAGCGGTCAATTGCAACTTGGCCATCAAAATAGCGACAGGCGAGGGCTGTGGATCGGCACTCCAGGCTCAATCACGTCGCCCATTTCTCCTCTCATCCTCTCAACAGTTTTGCTACCACGAACCGGGGCTTTCGCGACAAGCATCTCATCCATCGCATCTGGGCTTGTGAGCGACAGCCCACCCAACAAAATCATGGCCTCTCGCCCACGACGCGTCGCCCAGAGGCGCGCTATTGTCGAGTCCGACGACGAGGATGAAATCTCCATCGCATCCACCAGCAATCGCCAAATCAAGGAGGAATCACCATTTGAAGAACAAAAACCGGTCGTCAAGCGGAGTAGGACTACGCGCGGATCGGTGCCGCCTCAGGCTGCTTCTGCTCAACCACCCGCCGCTGCGGTTCGAGTTCGTGGACGCCTAAAGAAAGCTCCTACTCCAGCTGCATCCGAGGTAGCCGATAGTAACGATATACTTGGAGAAGATGAGATTTCTCAGGCGGACGTCACAGCAACTTCGACGAGGGTCCGTGGCCGGCCTAGGAAGACTCCGGCTGCATCCTCTGTCGAGTCCAGTCTGCTTGGTTCAGTGGACATCTCTCACCTAGATACCAGTCTTTCTACGGGCCGTGTGACGCCGGCAAAGCGGAGGAGCATGGCGTCACGAAGCTCCATGTCTAGCAACGCATCGGTCGACGATCGGCCGACCCCAAAAGCTAGGAATAAGAAAAGGTCGCTGGTCGCCCCAGATGAACAACCATCAGCAGGAGAAGAACGGGCTACTCCAAAGCCGCGTGCTGCCCCGAGATCAAGAACCAGCGCAAAATCCCGAAGCACACCGGCGCCGCAGGAGACGCCAGCTGCGACTCTCGTACCACCGACGTCGCTTGATACACCAGCATCGCAGCTGCGACAGTCTACTCCGCCCACAACGCAGAGGCAAGGCTCGCCTTTGGCAGACGCTGCATCGCAGCTGCGACAGTCCACTCCTACCGCATCTCAGAAGCCGGGTTCACCTTTGGCAGACATTACATCAAATATCAATGCCGCCCATCTGCTAGCGCCATCAGCTGTCAAGCCCACCAAGCCGTCGGAGTCTCCCACGAAATCGTCAATGGAACCCATTATGGACAAGCCATTGGATATCGTCCTCAAGTCGCGAACAATGACGATTCCCGCTGTTGAGGACACAACACCAAAGCCTCGCATCGTCATCACACATTTGATTCTCAACAATTTCAAGAGCTATGCTGGCCGGCAGGATGTGGGACCGTTTCACGCGTCGTTCTCATCGGTCGTTGGGCCTAACGGCTCTGGAAAATCCAACGTCATCGACTCTCTCCTTTTCGTGTTTGGTTTCCGTGCTAGCAAGATGCGACAAGGCAAGATCTCTGCCTTGATTCACAACTCTGCGCAGCATCCCAACCTCGAGTTCTGTGAGGTTGCCGTTCACTTCCAAGAGGTTCTAGACCAGGCAAGTATTCTCGTCACATTGCAGACTAAAAGTACACTTCACTGACAGCCTCTAGCCTGGCGGTGGCCACGTAGTTATCCCAGACTCGGAGCTCATCATCTCCCGCAAGGCCTTCCGCAACAACTCTAGCAAATACTACATCAACAACAAAGAGTCAAACTTTACGACCGTCACTACACTGCTGCGAGATCGTGGTGTAGATCTTGACCACAAGCGTTTTCTGATCCTCCAGGGAGAAGTTGAGTCGATTGCTCAGATGAAACCCAAAGCTGGAAACGAGCATGAAGACGGATTGCTAGAGTATCTCGAAGACATTATCGGAACCTCCAAATATAAAACTCCGATAGAAGAGTCCGCCGCCGAGGTCGAAACACTCAACGAGGTTTGCGTGGACAAGAATGCCCGTGTTCAGCATGTCGAGAAAGAGAAGAACAGTCTGGAGGAGAAGAAAGACAAGGCACTTGCATTTATTCGGGACGAGAATGAGCTCGCTATGAAGCAGTCCGCTTTGTATCAACTCTATATCCACGAATGCAACGACAACATGGCGGTCACGGAGGAGGCCATCAACCAGATGCAGGCTGAGCTTGATGTTGAACTGGAGAAACATGAAGGGAGTCAACAGCTTATCAAGGAACTTGAAGGCCAATACGAAATGGGCAGAAGGGAGTTTGAGATTCAAGAAAAGCAAACTCAGGTCTTGTCAAAAGAACTGGCAAAATTCGAGCAGGAACGTGTCAAGTTTGACGAGAAAAAGAAATTCTTGGAAGACAAGAGAAAGAAGCTCGAGAAAACCATTCGAAACAATGAGAGGACCACGACCGAAGCTGTTGAGACAATTGAGCAATGCGGCGCCGATATCGAAACTCGATCACAAGAGATTGAGGCGATGGAGACGCTGGCAAAAGAGGAGGAAGCCGAGCTCACCAACATTAGAGAGAGCATGAAGGGAAAGACGAAAGTCTTTTCGGACCAGATTGCAGTCAAACAAAGGTCTCTAGAGCCGTGGATTGAGAAGATCAATCAGAAGCAATCTGCCATTGCTGTTGCTGAAAGCGAGATGAACATTCTTCAAGAAAAGGCAAATGCTGGTGCCGTTGCCCTGCAGGAGCTCGAAGCCAAGATATCGTCCATCGAAGAGGGCAAAGTCGCCAAACAGAAAGAGCTCAAGGCCTGCCAGACTGAAAAGGCAAAATTGACAAAGGAGGCCGAGAAGATGAAGTCTGAGCTTGATATTCTCGCAGAGCAGGAGCCAAAGATAAGGGCTAAAATCTCCAGCGCGCGTCAAAAGGCAGACGAGGCTCGCTCAAGTTTGGCCAATACCCAGACAAGGGGCAACGTCTTATCTGCCTTGATGAGGATGAAAGAATCAGGCCGTATTGATGGATTCCACGGTCGTCTGGGCAATCTCGGCACCATTGACAAGAAATACGATGTGGCCATTTCCACTGCGTGTCCTTCACTGGACAACTTTGTCACCGAAACAGTCGAGGCCGGCCAACAGTGCATCGAGCACCTACGCAAGAATAAGCTCGGTCGTGGCAACTTCATCTGTCTGGATAAACTGCGACAACGAGACTTGTCACCAATTCAAACACCGGAAAATGCACCGCGATTATTCGACCTCGTCACAGCAAAGGCAGACAAATTCCTACCAGCTTTCTATCACGCTATGCAAGATACGCTCGTTGCCAATGATCTCGCGCAAGCAAATCGCATCGCTTATGGTGCCAGGAGATGGCGAGTTGTGACGCTGGATGGTGAATTGATTGACAAGTCTGGTACTATGTCTGGAGGTGGCACAACTGTAAAGAGGGGCCTGATGTCTTCCAAACTTGTTGCCGATACTACAAAGGAACAAGTCGCCAAGCTCGAAGAGGATCGTGACTCGTGGGAAACCAAGTTCCAAGAGTTTCAAGAGTATCAGCGAGAGTGCGAGAATACCCTGAAAGAGATTAACCGCAAGATCCCACAATTGGACACTAAAATGCAAAAGATTGGGTTGGAAATGGAGAGTGGCACGCGAAACTTGGCTGATGTTGAGCGACGTATCAAGGAAGTCAGTAAGGAGTACCAGCCATCTGCCGAGGACTCCAAGCGCATCTCAACACTGCAAAAGGAAGTAGCCAAGCTTAACGCGGAAGTGGATAAGCTCCGTGGCGAGACATCCAGCCTCGAAGAGGAAATCAAAGCTCTGCAGAACAAGATCATGGAACTTGGCGGAGAGAGATTGCGAGCTCAACGAGCCAAGGTCGATTCTATCAAGGAAGAGATTGCGTCTCACCACGAGGAAGTGTCCAAGGCCGAAGTCCAGAAAGCCAAGGCTGAGAAGCAAAAGATTAAGCTTGAAAAGGACTACGCAAAAGCAACCAAAGAGCGAGATGCAGCAGTGCATGACCTCCAACAACTCCAGGACGGCCTCGATAATCAAGGAGAGAAGGCTGAAGAGCTGAAAGCTCGCGTCGAGGAAGCCGAGGAGGGCCTGGCGCTGAAGAAAAAAGACATGAAAAAGCTCAAGGCGGAGCTGGACGGGAAGATTGCAGAGCTAAACGAGAGCCGTGCAGTGGAGATTGAGATGCGGAACAAGCTTGAGGAGAACCACAAGGTGCTGACTGACAACCAAAAACGACTTCGATACTGGCAGGACAAGCTATCCAAGCTTGCACTTCAGGACATCGATGATCTAATCGGCAACTCGGGTCCTAGGGCCATCAAGACCGAGGAAGCAGAGGCGCCTGAGATGCCTGATGCTCCGGTAAATGACGATGAGGATGGTGATGTCGAGATGACTGACGATGATGTTGAAATGACCGATGCTGAAATCGACGACGCCGCCTCTGACAAGACTGAACATGCCCAAAGCGCACCCGCTCGCCAACCTGGTCAACTCCCAAGATACACACCAGACGAATTGGCTGGTATGAGCAAGGAGACTCTGAAGGGCGAAATTGCGGCCCTGGAGGAGAAGACGCAGAATGTCAATGTCGACCTTGGGGTATTGGCTGAATACCGTCGCCGTGTAGAGGAGCATGTATCTCGTGCATCCGACCTGCAGACGGCAATTGAGCAGCGCGACGCCGCCAAGAAGAGGTGTGACGATTTGCGTCGCTTGCGACTTGAAGGGTTCATGGAGGGCTTCAGCGCAATTTCCTTACGTCTCAAGGAAATGTATCAAATGATCACCATGGGAGGCAACGCGGAACTCGAGCTGGTAGACAGCTTGGATCCATTCAGCGAAGGAATCCTGTTCAGTGTGATGCCGCCAAAGAAGAGTTGGAAGAATATCGGCAACCTTTCGGGTGGCGAGAAGACCCTGAGTAGTCTTGCATTGGTGTTTGCTCTGCATCACTACAAACCGACGCCGCTATATGTCATGGACGAGATTGATGCCGCTTTGGACTTCCGAAACGTAAGTATGGCCCTGCGGCCATTTCCAAGCCCCTTTCTCGTATACGGTGACGATGAGACCCTACTTACTAACACACGCTAACAGGTTTCGATCGTGGCGAACTACATCAAGGAGCGCACAAAGAACGCACAGTTCATCGTTATCTCGCTACGAAACAACATGTTTGAGCTTGCAGCGCGCCTCGTCGGCGTGTACAAGGTCAACCATATGACAAAGAGCGTAACGATAGAGAACAAAGACTTCATCGACAGGCCTCTGACGCTGCAGCAGCAGCAGAGAACACTTGGGGGGAACACAGCCACGGTGACGATAAGGTAGTACTGCTAAGTTGTCCTTTCAAAATTATGAGCAGGGCGACTACATGTTGTTTAAGACTGCGATGGCTGATTATTACAATAGTTCTTAATGTGTCTATGACATACAAATGTACATGGGAAGAAAGGGTAGGCAGGTTTTGTAGGTGTATATGGCGGCTGGCTTCTTGGGACTTCGACGGATGTCGAGCTGAAAATAACGGGATGCATTTTTTTCTCTCTTAATGATGATTGATGAACAATATTCAGCTGAGTCCCAGGTATGTGATATGTGAAAGCTGTGTTCATGTTCCTCTGGTTCCATATCACGAAGCACCCCCCTATTTCTCCTTGCTATTCTTGGCTTCGAAGAGATTGTTACCAAAGAGAGGGAGCCCATGGTGGCAATAACTTAGACTCGGGACTCTGGAAGCGAAGGCACTCGCCTCTCGCACTCGCACCAAGCGCACTCGCTTCTCTTGAGTAGCTTCTCCCCAAGCTCCTCCACCAACCCCAGATTGGGCAATGCGAGAAATGTCTTGAACTGCAGCCCTTTTGGAGGTGTGCACATTGTGCCACGTGCCATCGCTCGCACAGCAGCGCCCTTTAGGGGGGGAGGGAGTGCCGGATCTCGCGATCGCCATTGCATGAGACAAAGATGTTGATGGGTCTTGGCTCTTGGGTGATGTTGCACGGATGAGATCTTGTGTGACAAGGGGAGGATATGATGGAGGGAGGAGTTTCGAAGCGTGGTGAAGGATTGTGGCTGAAGCCCTTAATTTGGACATGTCTGGATTACGTGACGGTGAACTCGACGTTCAGCTTGAAAGTAAGGCCGAGAGAGGAACTGGATAAGGGGCTGGAAGCACATCCAGTTATGCCGAGACACGAGCAATGCCGGCTGTGTCTTGGCGGAGGTACATGATCTAGGCTCTGTTGAGGCTCGGGACGGATTGGTTTATATGGTTAGATTCAACGCCGAGTTGCAAATCCTGCTTGTTCCTCGATCCTTGTCAGGGGCAGCTGAGTTACGGATACACCATGTCTCGTGTCTTGGGAATGAGCATGCGAAGCTGTGCAATTTACTGAGATGCCGATGCTATATATACTGCTCTTCATTATAAATATCTATATATACCAGCAGTATCACTCATCATATAGTACTGCTTGCCAATGATCAGACATCATCCCTTCGTTGGCTATTTACTCACTATCTTCTTGTTACAATGCTTCTTTCTGCGGTCCTCTTCATTCTTCCTGGCGTATTTGCCTTTCCTGCGGCTCAGAATGCCGTTTCGTGTTCTCATGACAGCCTTTATACCTCACTCTCTCGAGATGGCGGGGACTTTTGCTCCAGCATGATGAGGACTCCTTGCGAGGTTTCGTCGACTCCTACGCAGTTCACGACGTATTCCTCGGCCAAGTTGTCTTCATATGTAAGTCTTTCTCATTGATATCGATAGTTTGTTTATATGTTAACTCATCTTACATAGTGTGCTTGTCTCATGACAACCTGTACTTCGTTTGGAACTGCTGCGCCCAGCGCAACTGGCTCTTGGAGTGGCCAAGAGAATGGCACTATATCGTATACTTCGTGGCGCTATTCTCGTGGCCCGACGATTACAAATGGTGCTACTCAAGCCAGATCTTCGGATGGCACCGATGGGGGAAGTTCAGAGACTAATAGTGGTGATGGCTCGGGGGCTACTGATGGGACACAAACTTCCACGAGTGGCGATGGGAGCTTTACTGGCCGTGCTTCCATTGAGCCTTCGAGCATTCTGGAGTCACCTACTGATCCAATGACGACTGGCTCTGGAACTGCCTCGGAGACTGCATCAGGCATCGTCGGCTCTGATACTGGATCCATGACTGACAAGGGCACGCGTACAGCACAAGGCTCTCCTCAGGGGACTTCAACATACAAATCATCTGATCAGAGTAGTAACAACTCTGGTGGCGGCTCAGCCACTTCGTCTCAGACAGCATCTACTACAACTACAGGTGATGCTGCATCTACTCACGATGGAGGAAGCGGTGGCCCTGGAGCAACAGGAACTTCTGGAGGTAGTGGAGGTGACCATACTTCTACTGCCTCTGGTGGATCTGCTACCCAGAGCGCCTCAAATGGCTCTGGAGATCCTGGCCAAGCATCCTCAGGACTGAGTACAGGCTCTGACATCAGCTACTCTGGATCTACACCGACAATAACGTCTGGAACTGCATCCACAGCCACGGGTTGGAATAACTCATCAGCATCTTCTCCATCGGGTACAGGAACTACAGGCTCCTTGTCTTCCACGGCTACATCTAGCTCTGACAACTCAGAAACAGCATCTGTAACTACAGATGCAACGGCGACAAGTAGTCTCACATCTGCGCCTTTCATCACGCCCAGCGGCTTCAACAGCAGCACCATCAGCCATATCGTCAACGCAACGCAGACAGGCCCCCCTCCTTTGCCCGCCGCAAACTTCACACAAGTAACTCGGACAGGCGCCATCGTCAAGCCAACTTGTTATCAAATGCCGGAGCCAGAGGGCGGCTCAACTCGAAGAGCGCTGCTTCACAACACAAAGCTCCGAGAGGAAAACGCAACGATCCCGTTCCCATATATCGAGTCTGTCGATTTCCAGACGGATGGCGTCGACCCCTTATACCTTACACTGCGTGATGCAGCCGAGGGAACTCACTACATCGATGTTTCTAATCGGAGCTACATTGCTATTGTAGACTCTCTTTACAATGCCATGATTATCGACGGCAAAGGCATTCACTTCTCGACTAAGAAGTGTCAGTATGATGTCTCCATCACAATTGACTCCATGTATGAGCAGCTTGCTGCGCTTTCTGGACAAACTTGTTCCGTGGGAGATCGTAAGCGGAAGCGGATGACCGACACGGACTTCAAACAGACGCTCTACCTGCGAGACCAGTGCAACAATCCAGTCAGGCAGACGGTCAGACAGTATCCAAACCTCAAGATTGGGGACACAGACTGCAACGACATTGAGGTCGATGAGGATACCGGGCGCTGGCTCTTTGACTGCACATTCCCCGGTTCAGACTCGGGCACCATGAAATGCGAATGGGCTGTACGAAACGACATCGAAGAGTTTCTCTTCACGGATCCCTTTGGCGGTGCCTGTCCCGACCTGTCCACCGTCATCACAACACTCGAAGCCAACGGCCAGGACTTTATCAACCCGGAATCCCTTCGAACCGAGCTCTACAACCAAGGCCTCGACGACGCGCAAAAAGCCGAGGCCAACCTCATCGTCATCTACTACGAGCAACTCTGGGAGATCCTCAAGCAGGCATTCTCCAAACTGCGCACTCAGCCACCCGGCAAAGCGAGCGCCATCCAGGAGTACATCGACGTGTACAACAAGTACCGCAACTTCGAAGACGACATCTGCGAGGATCTTCACGCAGGCGACATGCCCCTGAAGATGAGCCTCCGCGCAGGCGTGACCAGCATCGACGCCATCGCCAGACTCAACTGGGCGCCCGAGAACCCCAAGCCCTTCAACGTGACGGTCCAAGACCCGGCGAAACTCGCGTGCTGCAGCCCCGGGAGCGATTCCCAGAAGAACGAGACGGCGGGCACTTGTGCGTATCCGGCCAGCGCTCACCTTGGCGATACGGGATGTGTTTGCGGGAAGATGGCTTCGGGAGCGTCGGTGGCGTTTGAGATTACCGAGTGTGAGAATTTCGTGAGTGATTGCAAGGTTGATGATGATTGTTCCAAGGCGGGACATCCGACGTATGTCTGTTTGACTGGGAGTTGTTGCGGGGGAGGTGTTTGCGTTGATCCTTATGAGTGTGCGCAGAATGGAAGTGTGTTGGTGAGGCCGGGCCTCTTTTGAAGAGATTGCTTGAGGGATTGTGCTGTGGGAGTGAAGGTTTGTTTGGCTGATTTGTTTGTACAGAGTGAAGATGAAGATTGGCGGGACTGATCTTATGGCTCTTGTCTTTCGTCCTAGGTACTGTGTTGAACGCATACTACTTTGAAGCATTTCCAATATTTCAGACCGCACATCACTGTCATCAAGGAGGCACACAATGAGTTGAGTCTTTTTCAACAAGAAAAAAAAGTCCGATTCATTTAGGCTCCAGGAATCTCTTTGTCCCGGGTATTCATCTAAGCAAATTACATGAAGGCGTTAAAGTAAACCAGACTCCGTCCAACCCATTCCCGTCATACCCGTTTTTAAACCTTGGGGGCAGCGGTGGGGGTGATCTTCTTGCCGTCCTTGTTGTAGCGGACACGAGGGGGGGGAGCCCTGTTGCGGCGGCCCACGCGCGAACGGACACTATTTTGATTCTGTCAGCGTTAAATGCACCTTTACGAGGGGGGGGGGGGAATATGTTCGAGAGCTGGGACGTGTTGTGAACGTCCCAAAGTACAACCAAGGCTCATCTGAAGCACATACGCCGGAGAGGCGCAGTTGTAACACTCCCAGGGGAGGCAACGTACCGGACAATCTTGCCGTGGATAGCGCAAGAGACGCAGTACTGCAGCTTCAGGTACATCTTGGGGACAGTGTACTCGGCGAAGACAGAGGCATCGGAGATATCACCTGTTAGATACCAGTTAGCGAAACCCAATCTCAGACTGAAGCTGCTTTTGAGAATCGAGATTTCTCGGGGGCGGTTTTGACATACGGATGGCAGCAGACTCGACCATGTTGCGGATGGTGAAGCGCTTGATCGCCTTATCCTTGGGAGTGCATCGCGAGCAGTTGCTGCAGCGGATGGGCTTGGTGTGGCCGCGGCCCTTCTTGTTGCGGCCGCTGTCGATTTGTTAGCATCGTGTCTCAAAGTATCAGATATAATAGTTCTCCATCGTCATCCATCACGAAAAGCTGCTGCTGACGGAGACATCGTGTGGAAGCAGCAGCTTGACTGATGAATGGCAAATGACAGAGGCAGCGAGCGGATACAAGGGCGATGCATACTTGTTCTTTCTCTTCTTGACCATTTTGGCGGTGTCTGGATTGAACTGTTAGATTCTCACGCAGAAGGGAAAAGGAAAGAGAAAGGAGTTCGGTTCACGTACTGGAATTGGTGCTTTGGTCAAAAAGAAACTCGCGGATCTAGGGCTTTCGCGAAAGTATTCCACATCCAATTGCCACAAGGCCCAAGTTTTTAGTGCCTCCACCAGTGCACAATCGGGTATTTTGCCGCCAAATTTCGCGAGGGGCAGGGCAGCCATTGCGGAAACCCTAGGTCATGTGACCTCGTTTGCCGTGCCCGCCGCTGGTGAATTTCCTGGCGCGCCACACCACGGAAATGGACTGCTCCCTCATCATCCGCAACATCTGAAGATTGCTTAGGACGGCAATAGGTCTATTGTCGAGGTATGTCTGAAAGATGCTGCATTTCTATCTGCCCTCCATGAGCTCCGGGAGCTTCATGAGGGAATCATCGTCGATGTCTCCCTCTTGAATAATTCTTTTTTTGCTTCCCGGAGCTCTTTTTCCCAAATCCCGAGATATTGCTCGTCGTCGCGAAGAAATTTGCAACACGGCATTCTCGCCTTCTTCTCCCCAATGTCAACTCACGCAGGCAATGTATGCTGGGCAAACAAATCTAACCCTTCCAGTTAGGCAAGATGCAGATTTTCGTCAAGACCCTCACGGGGAAGACGATCACCCTTGAGGTGGAGTCTTCCGACACCATCGACAATGTCAAGTCCAAGATCCAGGACAAGGAGGGCATTCCCCCGGACCAGCAGCGATTGATCTTTGCTGGTAAGCAGCTGGAGGATGGCCGAACCCTCTCCGACTACAACATCCAGAAGGAGTCTACCCTCCACCTGGTCCTGCGCCTGCGTGGTGGTGCCAAGAAGAGAAAGAAGAAGGTCTACACCACCCCCAAGAAGATCAAGCACAAGCGCAAGAAGACCAAGTTGGCTGTCCTCAAGTACTACAAGGTCAGCAACGATGGTAACATCGAGCGTCTCCGCCGCGAGTGCCCCAGCGAGACTGTGAGTAATCCCCCTACAAAGATTTTCAAAGATTTTTCAAATCATGTGTGGCAAAGCATCAAGACTAACACGATTTGCCATCTAGTGCGGTGCTGGTGTCTTCATGGCCGCCATGCCTGACCGTCAATACTGTGGTCGTTGCCACCTGACCTACGTCTTCGACAAGCAGTAAATGACAAAACTTCTAAAAAGGGAAAAAATGTATTGTGGATTGGACAGCTGGAGCCATGGGACTGCCATAACACACAAAGGCGTTGATGTAGCATTAGAGAGCACATCCGGCGGCTTCTGGTAATGAATGCTTGATTTGAGACACGTTTGGAGTTTTCGGAAACTGTAGTTCATGTGACAAATGTGCAATGATTGCGAGACTAATTACCTGTGCTGTCTTTATGGTAATGTGATGTCTGTCTGTACGAAGTAATGCTGGAATAGTCCTCATTTGGTGATAAAGGCCCCATGAAGTTATCAAGGCACCCCGTGTAATAATTTTTTTTTTTTTGCGCGACTTGAATTTATTCCTGATCCACTTTAACCGAGTGTACCTTAGGGTCGGTCACATGGTATCAACCCCATAGCTGTACATCACCAATTCTAGTATGATGCTTGCACACTCAAGATGCCCCGCGAAATGGCCGGCTTTGCAATGTTCACGAAATGGGCGGTTTTGTAATTTGCAGAACTTCAATTCAAATCGTGCCTATGCCAACCACCTAGGGTTAAATCGACATGGCAACGTCAAGATCGGGTATGCATCCCTTCATATGTACAATTATCATAGCAAAGCTGTTTGTCCTTGAACGCCGTTTCCAGATTCCTTTACAACTCCCTCAAAAGTGAAGTGCAGATACCATCCCGGGCCAGAGCCGGCCTCCCAATGCTACTCAACCTACTCAGCCTCAGACGACTGGCTTCTGTTGGACCTCGTTGCTTCTCTCCTTCGTGGGTTTGGGCTCCGAGTGTTCCTCTGAATCCTGGTCGAGATCGGTAGAGCGTTCGTTGGCAAGCATGGCACTCAGCTTCTTCTTTTTGCCGAGTTTCTCATCGCTCATCTTGTTATCGCCCTTGTCACAAGCCAAGGCACCGTCCCCATACTTTCCCATTATCTCAACCCCAACCTCGGGTTGAGCCCACCTCGGTGGAGTTTAATCAGTCGAAGCATCCGAGGACTCGGAGGAGATCTACTCATCCTTGGATCCCTTGGACTTCTTCTTCTTCTTTTTCTTCTCACCATCGGCGGCGTTGGTCATGGGGACATCCTCATCCTCCTCGTGCTTGCGCTTCTTTTCCTTCTTCTCTTTCTTGTCCTTCTTGTCCTTCTTCTTGTCCTTCTTATCCTTCTTGTCCTTCTTGGAGGCGGCAGCATCAGGGGCATCAATCATATCCTCATCAAAGGTCTCACCGGCATCTCCGAGAGACTCCATGACGGATTTCTAGATCAGAGTTAGTTCATGCTGAACATGAGAAGAGAGGGGAAACGGATGAGAAGAAAAGTGCAAACGTACGATAACATCAGAGTTCTTTGTGGGGCGCTTGCCAGTGGCGTAAAATTCCAGACGCTCATCCACTTGCTGCTTGAAGGCATCTCCGAAACGGGTGGAAGGCTCGGCAGAGAAGACATCGATACGAGAAGCCATGGAGGCCTTGTTGGCGACACAGCGGGACATGCGACCCTTGTTCTGCTTGCTAGCCTTGGCAATGGCACCGGCGTGGAACAGGAGGCCGAACTTGGGAGTGTTACCCTTAGTCTTGAGAGCACGGAAAAGGGCCTTCTCAGCGCCGAGAATCTGCAGAGTTGACGAAGGCAGCTTGGCCAAGCTGGTGAGAGAACCAGCATGAGAAATGAGGCGGGCAGCAACGCTGGATCCGAGCAGAGCCTTCAGGTTAGGCGCGACCTGATCAAGCTTCTCGTCAAGATAAGTGGATGTGTTGCGACGGTTATCAGCCTGCTTGAGGACAAGGCGAGAGAGCTGATCGATGATCTCGAAGTCAGTGCCGGCAAGATCATATCCCATGGAGACCTTGGCGGCATCGATGATGGCCTGGGCCTTCTCACCATCCTCACCCAGGATAGCGGCGATATCGTGCAGCTTCTCATCAGTGAGAGTCTTCTTGTTTCCGATGACGCCAACAAGCTGAGCGTAGGTGTAGTTGTCTGAGGCAAATCTCTGGAGCTCAGGGAAGTGAGAGCCGTACCATTCGCGAAGGCGCATGAAGAAGCCGTTGACACCCTTGTCCTGGAAGTCGACAGTGGCAATAGCCTGGATGATGTGGTTGTCATTGCGGGTGACGTTGAACTTGACCTTGGCACGGGAGTAGGCGTGAGCAAGACCCAGAGAGGCCTTGCTGAGATCGCCAGTCTGGAGACCCTTGAGGAGCTTCTCAGCGTGTAGACGAATGCCACGGATAAGTTCGGCAACCACCACGGAGGTTTCGATCGTCTCGATGGACAGGCCGGGGAACTGGGTCTTGATGGCGCTGCCAAGGTTCTTCTCGGCAACACCAAGAGTGATCTTGCTCTTCTTTCCGCTCGTCTGAGGGAGATTGAGCTCAAGAACCGACTTGAGCTGGTCGGAGACGATACCCTCAGAAATCAGGTTGACGTTCTCGAGAGCCTCAACGTGACCACTTTGCAACCCGCATCAGTCTCCTTTCGCCTCACGTAGGAACAAAGACAGTGAATTACCTGAAGGGAGTGAAGTTGACGAGATTGACCATCTTGCTAAACTTGGGCAACTCGTTGACGGCAGTCTGCACCTCCTTCAACTTGGCGCCAACAGCATCGGCCTGGTGCACCACGTTGAAGAGGGCATAGCCCAGGGCGGCTTCGAAAAGGACGTAATCGACGTGCGCCATTGTAATCTCTTCCCGGGCGACGCCGTTTGATTGAGGAACAGAGGTGGAAGAGAGACGCGGTGATTGCAATTGGTTGCCTCGAGTTGGAGTTTTTTCCAAGATCTTCGCATCCAAACTTTTTTTTTTGGTCGACGAAATTTTTCTGGTAGCTTTGAGCTTAGCGCACAGACCAATTGGATTTTGCAGCCGGCAGGAACAACGATGTGGGAGACGTCACGTGGGCAGATAGCGGGGCACATTCTTGCTTGGTTCAGGTACTTTGCCTTTGTACCTCGAATTCGCTTCAGAATGCGATCAGTGAGAGGCTGTATCTCATGTCCAGGTGATATCAAAGTGAGGTGCGTGCGTATAATATCACTTTCAAATTATTCTTTTTATTCATCTTGTATATATGCTGATACATTTATATGTCAGTGTCATATCATGTTCTCGTTCGCTCTACCTCTTTGAATGTGCATTTTGATCCTCTCCCTCCCTCCTCAATTGTTTGGGAATCCATTCTTCAGGTTGTCATATTTCGACTGCGGGTAATCAACGCAGTTATCCTTCCTCTGCAACGCCCCGGGGCCTCCAAACTCATTCACCACAATACCAATCAAGCTGTCAGGGCCCTCCTTGTCTCCGCTGCTCTCCCACCACATGCCACCTCCAAGACCCCACTCCTTGATATACTGAGCCTTGGTTCTGCTGGCGTGAGGGGTGTCATAGGAGACGAGCTTCCTTGTTTGTGGGTTATAGCTGTAGCTGGCGCCAGTTGCGTGATCCCAAATCTCTTGAGAGCCTGGGTGAGGTAGGACCTTGTAGTCGAAGATGCCATTCTCCCACGACCCCTCCCCGATACCATTGTAAGGCCTGCCAGGGCCATCGGTATTCTCAAATGCACGGCCGTAGATGGGCATTCCGAGCACAATCTTGCTGGGCGCTACACCACTCCTGGTATAGAAGTCGATGGCTGCATCGGTGGAAAAGGGAGTAGATGTAGGGTTGTCAGATGACGGATGGAGATTCGCCTGGTGGCCGCTCGTTTGGTCCCAGGACCCAGCATAGTCGTAAGCCATCAGGTTCCAGAAATCAAGGTACTGGTCCATGCCGGGGATATCAAGCTTCTGGAAGTGCGTAGCTCCGGCGGGGCAAGCAACAGTCAGTTCAAAGTGGCTGTAGTTTGGAAGCGTGGCAGAGTAGGCATCCAGCTCTCTGCGGACGGTGGCGAGAAGCTCAACGAAATTCCTAGCCTCGTCTGCATTCTGAGGATACTCCCAATCGATATCCAGTCCGTCGAAACCCAAGTTTTTGAGCAGTTCGAGACTAGATTTGGCGAATGTCTCGCGACCCTGCTGAGTGCTGGCCGGGCCCTTGAAGTTGCCGCTGTATGTCCAGCCGCCAATGGACAGCAAAACCTTGAGGTTACGGTTGCGCTTTTTGAGAAGATTCAGCTGTTTGAGGCATCCATACATGTTGTTTCCCGTGTCATTCCACGAGTCGCCCTCCCAATGAATGTCTGTGTCTGCCCAGCCATCCGTCATGTGTCTACCATACTTAGCGCGCCATAATCACGAAAGGGGGGTAAGAGAGGTTCAAGACATACACTTCCCCGCTATCTTGGCGGACATTGGCAAAGGCATAGAGGATATGAGTGAGTTTATCAACGGGGAGATCTTGGGGGCGATGCTTTCTAGCATAAATGGCCCTTGATTTCAGAGAAGCCGTGTCAGCCGGAACACACGTGTAAATGCTGGGATGTTGATGCATTTATATCAAGATACGGTACATACCAGTTGACGAAATAGGCGACTGAACGATAGCCGTCTCCCGACATGTTTGTTTGAGATGTAGAAAGATTGATGATGGGAATGAGGGATAAGAACAGGGCCAGACCAGCGAGAAGGATGAGGTATTTGGGGAGTGCTATGGTCCGATGACGAAATGGTTGCTGATACCCTGTAGAAGAAGAAGAAGAAGAAGCCGTGTTAGATGTGAATGCAGGAGCTTGTCGATGCAGCGCCCGCCCTTTTATAGGTACTTTATAAGTGGCAGCAAGTCACGAATCCCAATCCCTTGTTGTTGTTTTTCCGTCTTTGTTTACGAGATGAACATAGTAGCTTGTGTGTAATTCCTTGGCCGTCCAGTGGCTTCGCGTCAGTGATTCGATCAGCTCAATGGCGGCCTCAGACGCTGTCGTGGCTTTCGCCCCAGCTCTCCACTTTGCAGGCGCTCACTGGCCAGCACCGCCTCATGCGACAGCTCACATCCCCAGCAAGCCCACATACGAGCAGTATTAGTAGCCAATTGTTCACCCCTTGAGCATGTGACTGGAGGAATCTCCAATTCCTTTTTGGCCAATGGATTACATAGCCCTGCGACTGTAGCTGCGCATGGAAAATGAGACGCATGCAGTTCATCCCAACTGTTGGGCGGGCTCTGGCTGATGTCCGATTTACCATGGACTCAATGCATCTTCCAGGTAATCAATGACGAAGCTCCGTAGGTACATAATGGCAGCTCAACTGTGTAGCTATCAGTGCTTAAATCATGGCTTCATATCCAAGGTTGCCGCTGTATTCTCGCAGCAGCTTCAACAGGTGTTCATCTTCAAGTCTAATTGTTCATGAGACCGCAGCTCCTACAACGAGCAGCTGGGCAAGTGAATCCACGTATAAACACACAATAAGAAATCTCAGAGTGCTCGCAGTTACATAGATAGGCTTCACGCTCCTTGGAAATTCTGTTGAGCATAGAGGGGCCTCAATATTATACGCCTATGATGATTAAAAGCGATCAGCATCTGCGAAATGTATCTACCTTACGTCCCCGTACCTCTTCTTGAGAATCTGGAATATACCTCCTCGCGACTTGGTCGTACATCTATAATTCTTTTCTCAGGCGTAATCTGTTCCAGGGAGATATTTTGTATGAGATCCCATGCACATGCTGCTGCCGCCATTGCTGTGTAGTCTCGCCATTCTTCATTCTTGTCAGAATCTGAACAACCGCAAATGCCGCGAATAGCTAAGCAGGGAAAATAATCCATTGACCCAGCTGCTACCATGTCCGAAAATAGAACATCTTCTTCCCTAATGATCATATCTTGGAGGATGGTGTCCTTCATCACCTGGCCTTTGGGAGCAATTAGGCCATAGTGGACAACACTTTTATCCTCAACTTGAGTCCGTTCCGGTTGCGATACCAACATCCACACATCGTTTCCGCAGGAGGTTGTGCAGTCGCCTTCAGTGCATAAAGGGTGATTGACCGTAGACTTGTGTAGCTCATCGCTGGTTGATTGCGGTCGTCGGCACATCTGCCTATAATGTGGGAACCTCTCCAGGGCACTGCTAATATTTTCTTCAATCTTGTGACCGCCAGTCTGATAATCCGCCTTAAGCCGGTTGACGGCAGTCCGAAGAAGTGTCTGTGGCTGGACAAGAGAACTCGTCATGTCGAACATTCGTTCTTGCATTCCCTCGCCGAACCTATACGGGAAACGACTCTCAACACGATCGAGAGGAGCACTAACAACAACATCTCCAAGCCGTAAATTGTGCTTTGAACTTGGCGCAGTGCCTCCGATGCCAACGACCAGACCGATTTTGATATTGGGAAAGCTACCGAGCATGCCCGCTGCAGTGGCTGCGACGGCCGATGCATCCACGGGATCTCCCATAGGCAAAGGTTGTGGTAACAACGTTATGGCTCCCAATCTTGCCTAATACGTAGGAGTTGATGTCATGAGGAGACACAAATTCTGGTCGGTGCGTTTTTTCGAGAAAGACCATTGCGGCGCAGTGGTCCTCGGAGTGGAGGCAGATCCAGCCGACAGTATAGTCCGCAGGAGACCAAGTTGACCGAGTGGCACCGCCTATGGCTTCCATGTCGCTGATGGCTGTTGCAGGTTGCTACCTGTTAGAAGTCTGGTTCAAAAGAAGAGTGAGGAGACAAAGAGGGACGAAGAAACGGTTTGTATGTAAGCCGTTGTTGCGCAGTCAGTGATCAAGTAATGACTGTCTTTCTCTCTGCCTTCCAACACAAAAGGAAGGGGGGTATTCCTCTCTTTTATATTCAATTGTAAACTTCAAAAACTCGATTTAGATACAAGACATTTCCCTTTGGCTATCCCACTGCGAAGTCGCTGACAGGCTGCTCTTCTTTCATGGCCACGTCAACATTGCCGGATCTAGTAACGGCCTTTGTTGAACAAAGAGCTTCCTACAACATGAAGAACAAAGGAATTGAACTGTGATAAAGAAAAGACACGTTGTTGACGTTGTGCAAGTGGCAATAAAGCAACTACGAAGTCGTCTGTGTATATAATTGTTATAATCGGGGTTTTAAATCACATCCAGTTTAAGCTTGTTTGCTCAGTGCACATGGAGCTCTCGACTCATCGCAAATCCGTAGGAAATTAGTCCGTATTGTGGAAGTCATGAGCTGTGTGCGATGATGCGTAGCCTCTATATTCAGATGTTGCATTTGACTACAGAAGCGCCAAGGGGCTGTTCAGGGGGCTGGGGATGGCCCAATGCATTACGGCTACCGAAATCAGGCACATCTCAAGGCCCATTCAGAATCAGCCTGGATATATTAATGGTTCTTTGTTGGACTGCCCGGCACTTGTATAGCGTTGTTTGCTCATCTAATTGGTCGCAATTCCTGCGGGCTTCTGAATTAAAAATGTAACCTCAAAAGGGCGCAAATGATGATTGGGTATCCAGCGCCGACTCAATACAGTTCAAAACACAAAGACAAAGTCCTCATTTTCGAGGTCGGTAATGTCCGCAAAAGCCTTTCGTCCTTTGACATCATCCGACTGCACTCCATTCGCTTCGTCGCCTCCTAGGCGGGTATCTCCGTTCTCTTCAGAAAGTCTCTGGGTTCCCTCTCGCATCGCTTGCTCCAACGCCTCCATGCGCTCTACCTCTTCTGCCGTCTCCAAACTCATGTCTAGAATGACCGCACTCTTTCCTAGTGCCACTCTTCTCTTAGCATGATCGAAATTGAGAAATTTCAGGTACAGCGACGCAATGCCAACGAATAAGACAACCATGGCGAAAAACACAATGTTGGCCTGTAAGCCTCTTGAATATGATGGAGCCTCGTCGGGTGTGAAAAGCAAGGGCCCGACGATATTTCCAGCAGACGAACCAATAAACACCAGCGCCGAGGTACATTTACGTTTGGTATCTCCAGCTGTATTCTGTGCAGACCATGAGTAGATGAGCGGTGCTGTTAGGCGTCAGTTACTGAAGCGCGTGAAGCGCGTGATTACAAGTTCGAACGAAAACTTACTGATGCCTGTAAATGTGGAAAGACAGAAATATCCGGCGAGCAAAACTCCTCTATGCTCTACATCGTGTGGATAGTGCAGCAAAATTGAAAACCCGATGATGGGAGGGATACACAAGAGAGCAATAACCGGCCCCTTGAGCTTCCACTTCATTGATGCGTACGCACTCAATGAAACGACCAAGACATGCGACAGCCCCACTGGGACGTTGAACAGTATTGTTCCGTAAGGGTCCGTCACAAAAGACTTGATAATGAGAGGTCCAAACGTTGATATACCGTTTGAAGGTACTGAGATGCAAAAGATCATGATTACCCACAGCCAGGTTTTGGGATCTCGCAAGGTCTCGAAGAAGTGAGCGTATCTGAATTCTCGCGACATAACTCCCATCTGGTTGTTTCGAAGTCGCTCTATAGCAAGGATCTTGTCTTCATCGCTGAGAAACTTTGCTTCAGTAGGAGAATCCGGCATCCAAAAGAACATGGCGCCAGATACCGCAACTGTGATGGCACCAAAGAAAAGAAAAATGATCTTGGACAACGTTAGCATATGTATAAACAGAGTAAGATCCAATATGCCACCTGTACCTGATAAGGCTTCATGCTTGATTCTATACTGGCAAGTCCATAAGTAATGAGACTTCCAAACTGCAAATTCCCAGGTCGGTAAATGATAATATCACGAAAGCTATAGTCGACTCACCACCCAGGTTAAACCGTTCATGCAATACCAAGACCCAATCCTCATAGTTTGCTCTCTGCAACAAAATGTTAGTTTTCTCAGTGACAGACAAGAGGCCTGAAGACAATAGCGCACCTTCGCCTCCACCACATCTGGGTTATAGCAACAAAGGCTGGCCCAACGCAAGCTTCAAAAGCACCCAAAAAGAAACGAGCGGCCATGAGTTGTCCAAAAGTGTGTGCCCATGTCATTCCTACCAAGGTGATTCCCCATGCAAGAACCATGGCACTCGTGAATTTGCCGATCGGCAGCTTGACCAAGGCCCATGCCAAGGGCAGCTGCATAATGAGCTGCGCCAAGTAAACAATGCTAGCCAGCCACGAGAACTCGTCGCCCACCAAGCCCGTGTCGTCTATGAGGCCAAAGATGGACGCATATGACAGAGTAGCTTTGTCGAGGGCCTGGAGAAAGTACACGGACAGCATGAGCGGAAGAAGGGCGAGATCGATGCGACCAAGGATACGGGCATCGTCGGCCGGGGAAACGGTGATGAGCTCGTCTGGCGAACGGCCAAGCTTGATGAGCATCATGGCCGCCGCATCTCGATGAACCTTGGGCTGCGCATCGGATACTTGGGAGGGCTCATCTGGCCTCTCGCCATCGTTTGGGTTCTCGCCATCGTCATCCTGGCTCAAGGGTCGGTACGGATGCGATGACGGCAGGGCGAGCTTTACCGCCGTGAAGAAGAGCTTGGAGAGCATGGCGGCGGCAACGAGTCCTTGGGCATCGAGGATGTCTTTGATAGCCTTGCCGAGACGAGGCTGAGCCCTTGTGTCAAGACCCGGGGTTTTCGAGTCTGGCAGAGAATGAACCGTCACGAGGTCCGAAGCCGCCGCTGGTGTTGCACCGGAAATGCTCAAAGCCAAGGTTCGAGTCTGGATGTCAGCTTTAGGGGGTCCGATGACGTTTTACTGTCCCCGTGCCTGGCACTCTGTTCGCTGGATCTAGGCCTCTTTAGGCGCTGGGCTTTTGGCTGACAGGGCTCTGGTTTAGCGGCATCGGGTCTTTTTTTTCCATGGAGGCTTGCGAATGCTACTGCAGATTGCCGCTGATTGATTCGGACATGGATATTTGCATGAAAGTCATCAAATGTCAATGTTTGTACCTGGGCCTGGACATTTTAAGGGGTGTTGCGATGTTTGCCAACTGCTGCGGATACTACCTGTATCTTTGATTAGACAAGAAGTTGAGCCGCTGAAAACTCATGTAGACTTCTATACACATCCTCTTAGTATAGTAGAATCAGGAGATTGAGATGGATGTCATTGAACCTAAGGCGCAACGTTTTGAGGATTCGGCAGCGGGATGCATGTACACAACATGCACCACATGTACACAGCCGAGAGTGCACGTAACATTGAGGCTTCATATCAAATTCAAAGTATCACAAGATAAGCCCGGCATGTAACAGCAGATGCCGTGTTCCTTGATTTGCATCATAAACTGCCAATCCTTTATCTATACTTGTAGTGACTCTGTTTTTGGTGGGTTTCTCACCTTGGCATTGGTAGTGGTGTGTACATGTCCATGTACGTGCATGCAGGTCGAAATCGGGCTATAGAGTACGGATACTATTGACCTATTGTTAGCCACTGAGTTATTTGCTCCTCGAGTCTCCTTCAGACGGATCATGTTTGTGTCGCCCTCATCGGTAACCTCGGCAATCCCGGTCATCCCATTACCTGGCCATAAGTGCCCAGGTACTTATGCAATATCTTGCGTTCAATCTCACGCCGCACTTTGATCTGTCGCGGGGCCGTATACAAAGTCTCGAGCAACGAGTGCGAGAAACGTCTATTAACAATAGAGAATGAAAATATGATGTTAGCAATCAATTCTACATATGTATAATTATATGGATACGAGTACATGTATTAAAGAGTACGTGCAAATTGTATGGTTACAGTTATAAGTGCTCGATTCCAAAGCATTTCAATGTCCGCCGCTCTTTTGTTGTTTCACCCATCTTACACGGGTTGCACCGCATGTAGAGAAAGATAAGGGCCAAGAAAATCATTCAATCTGTTAGCGCATGCGTTCTTGTTTTGTTTGTCTATATTGTTACATTACATATCAACGTTTCGTCGGCAAACAGTAGGTGTGCAAACCAAGCCAGAATCTCGATTCAAGCCTCCCTACATGTGCGGTGGAACGTCTTTGGAAACCTCTTGCCACGTGACAGAGATGCGAGACATTGATCCAGCAAATAATGATTCAGATGAATATGCCCTTGTAACACACACAACTACGATTCCCCTGGGGAGAAAACGAAGAGAGAAAGGCTTCTGCTCCGTGGAAAACGGACAGCCCGTTGCTGTGGATCATAAGAAGACAGACTTCAGTTTGGCCCGTGCTCGTGTCAACTGCCAATACTGCATCTCTTGCCGAACAGCCGAAAAGTGCATATTAATCGAGCCTGTAAGCGTCGAACCTTGTCCGCATTTTTCAATGCGTTTGTCGATCCCAATTAGACCGTCGTACGTTCAAGTCCTTTCGCCTATTCAGACCCCGGCTGCCAAAACTGGATACTTCTCTTTAGTTCCAATCCGGCAGTTGCTTTTTATGTCTTGGCCGTCCACTGCCGACTCATTTATTAAAAATTCACTAACCATCTACCTGGCTCCTGGATATGCTGGCAACTACTAGTAGCAGTAATAGATCATGGCTTGGCTTTGGTTTCTCATCGAGGGGTCCATCGCCCTAATCTTGATCTATACGCTCTACCTTGCCGCGCTGCCAAGGCCTTTGCCAGGTATTCCGTATAATCATGAGTCTGCCAAAAGGCTCTTTGGGGATATTCCTCTTATGAAAAAGGTACGATACCGGCGGCAATGGATATGGAGTCAGCCTCGGCAGCATGGATCGGCCGTGTCTCAAGTCTTTTTGTTTCCGTTTCGCACACCGACAATCATCGTGTCCGACTATCGTGAAGTCATGGACATTTGCTCACGGCGGTCGAAGGAGTTTGACAGAGGAGTCAGGAATAGAGAGTTGTTTGGCGTTGTGACTCCGAATTTCCACTTCGCAATGCCAACTGCGGATCCTCAATTCAAGTTCAACAAGAAACTGGTTCGCGACCTCATGACAACAAAGTTTCTCAACAAGGTTCGTCTCAACTTACAAAAGATGTACGCTACGGGAGTCATATACTTACAGTATGATAGGTTTCAGCGCCTCCCGTATATGAAAAAGCCTCTGCTCTTGTCGCCTTATGGAACCTGAAGGCATTCAAGGCTCATGGCGGACCGTTCGAGGCAGGGTGTGACCTCTACTCAGCGACTCTCGACATGATATGCGGCGTCGCCTTTGGCATGGAAGATACAAAGTCTGCGCTACGGCATGAGATTGCTCATGTGCAGTCGACCCATCCCACCTTTTCAACGATGGAGGATGGACCAGCATATTTCTCTCAAGCTCGAGCCATACCGGAGCTGGAGGCTCTCCTTGACATCCCGAAAATGGTGTCCATAGCTCAAGCTAGCCCGTTTCCCACCTTTTCGCAATTCCTCGCGTTGCTCAAACCAAGGCATGCACGAGCTCAGTGGAACAGGAGGGCTTTGGTGAGACGACAGATAGATCGGAGTCTACCGAGACTTACTTCGGCTGGGGCAGAAGGATGCAAGAGTGCATTGGATCAACTCTTGTGGCGAGAGATGAATGCTGCCAAGGAGGCTGACCGATTACCGGATTACTACTCGCCCGCAATTCGAGATGAAGTAAGATATGCGCGCTCGCATCTATCTGAGAAATGAAATATGCTAATACAACTTTGAATAGATTCTTGGATATCTCCTTGGTGGTCACGATACCACAGCCGCCAGTCTCTCGTGGTGGGTGAAGTTCATGTCGACCTACCAGTCCGTCCAGGCTCGCCTTCGCGATGCCCTGCGACAGGCTCATTCCTACGCTTACCGGGACTCTCGGTTCCCAACGATGGAAGAGATTTGTGGAACATCGATACCTTATTTGGATGCCGTCATGGAAGAAGCCCTTCGCTGTGGTTCTGTTGCGACGCTTATCGCCCGAACGGCGACTTGCGATACGCAAATCCTAGGATATCCAATTCCAAAGGGCGCGGATGTCATACTCACCGTCACAGGCCCATCCATGACGGAGCCAGCTTTACCAATTCCCGAGTCGTTGCGTTCTTTGGAGTCGCAAGAGGCCAAAGACCGGGTTCCCTGCTGGGAAGACGACGTATCCGAGTTCAAGCCAGAGAGGTGGCTCAAGATGGTCAAGAGTGCCGACGGGAGCAAAGAAGAAGAAGTCTTTGACCAGAATGCAGGGCCAACTCTCATCTTCTCGGCCGGGCCAAGGCAGTGCTTTGGGAAAAGGTTGGCGTATATGAAGCTACGAACAGTAATGACATTGTTAATATGGAACTTTGAGTTCCAGCTCCTAGATGGGTCGTTGAACAGTCCGGACATTCATGAATGTTTTGTAAATCTACCAAAGGACTGTTACGTCAAACTTGCAAAAGTATGAGGGGGCTGGGATGGGTAGACTGGGTTTATCTTTTTTAATGCGCCGTCTTGTCTTTTACGACAATTCGCATTTCTTGCACATATAGTTGGAGAGTGTCAAATATGGAATATATTGATTCAAATAAAAAACAAAGTTTAACAATTTCGCAAAGCAGTGCGTGCCGTCTAATTCAAGTTCTATACCTTTTATCCACCATCGCCCTTTATAAACGCATGAAATCACTCCAGTCTAACACACACCATAACTTCATGCCGCTTGAGCAATCGCCGCAGGCTGAATAGCCATCTGTGCAGCTTCAGCCTGGCGAAGCTCTGCCCACCTGTTCAGGAGACTCAGATAGGCCTGCCATCCGAGGTTAATCATTCCGGCAAAGAGGGCTCGGTATTCCAGTGGCACATAGGAAAGATTGAATGCCATGACAAAGGGCCAGACTTTGCAGGAATTGATCCAGCTTGTGAGCAGAGTGTCTCTGACACGCTGGACAGCGCCGTTGATACCCTCGCCGGTGAGGAGGGCCTGCATGCTGAAGAAGTAGACATTCATATACGTGGCAAAAAGAAGCTGGTTCATGACGATTTTGACTCCTAGAGACGCCGCACGAGATGAGTAATTGAAGTTTTTGGCGAGAAACTGGAACCTGTAGACCGAAGGCCGTCAGCATATATATATTCTCCCCAAGTTTCAATGCAATTTTCTCACCATTTATATGCCGGAATGGCGGTACCCGCTCCGATGAAGACGTTTCGCACCGTCCGCACAGGATCGTATTCATCATCATTCATACTCTGAGCAACAATGTCGGCGCTGAAGAAGATGAATATGCTGCTTATGGTCTGAGTCACATAAGGCCTTTTCTTCTGAGATCGTGCATATGCCTGAGCCACGCGGGTTATCGGCCCCAGACGCTGCCATAGGGGAAGCGCTGCGACCACATTTTGTGTTGATGGTGAGACCGTGGGCAGACTGCTGCTTGCCGTCTCTGGTGACATTTTGCCCTGAATCTGCGTCTGGGATGAACTTGGTGTAGATGACTGGGCTCGGAACTGGGGTCGTGGGCGGTACGCTAACTGGAGCTGACGCCGCAGAATCGAGCGAAAAGGGGTTGATGCCATCTCTTTTTCTTTTCTCGTATTCAATCTTCCGACTGTTTTCTTCTTGCTCTTCGTGAAAGAGATAGTCTATGGTGTATCACAATTTTGAAAAGTTTCATTTTCCGTTCTGTCAGACAGAGAGTCAAGAGCTCCAACTGTTATCAAATCAAACCCACGCCTTTTTCACTACTAGTACATGATAAGGCGTCGGTACCGGCTTTCGGCACAAGCCATTTGTAAGCCGTTTTAGGCAATTCTCGGACCGTGAGGGATGGCAAGCTGTGGCTGATCGGAAATTGGCCTTTTCGGCGAGACCGTTTGTTTAGAGAAGGTTGCCCAGTTTCTCTATTGTTTCGTATTCATGTTTCACTTGTACAAAACTTAAAATCTCCTCCCTTTTGGAAGGGTTTTTGATTCCTTCAAACCTCCCATCGCCAAGATGCTGCCCAACTGTGCTTCGCTGTCACAGACAGTTCCGTTGTCGGCTGACTATTGCCGACTCGCAAGAGGCCGGAGCATTACGGAGACGGACTCGTACACTATTTTATGCAAACTCGACATATGCCCGGCATAAACACGTACAAGAACCACTAAGCTAGATTCGCGCGTATCAACGGTACAATGTCAGGAGCTTTCTTTTTCCCACTGCAAAAAGCTTCTCCCCTCACCGTAAAAGTAGTAACTCCCTAGCGTGGAGCTTACAGCAACGAGCTGCCCATTGTTCAACGCAAAGACTCCATTCCAATTTGATTATCACTGTTTAGGAAGCTTCATCATGAGTGATACCAGTCAGGTTGAGACGGCCCAGTCGACAATCCAGTCGACGGCGCCGTCCATTGACCCGTCTCTCGATGGCAGCGGCGTGTCGAGTGCGAGTGGCGGTACCAGCCCAAGTGGCGGTAACATGGACGACCTTTGGGTCGCGTTGCCAAAGCCAGCACAAACCGTTTCGTCCGAATCGCTGCCTGATCGCGTGAGGAGGATCAGAGTCGACGTCGAGGAGCTCGAGGTCTTTTACAGCATCTCCGTCTCTCCCGGCCGTCACGAACGGCTGCGCCGCTACTTTTCAGATGAGCTCAAGTCCCTCTTCAGCCTCGACTTTGAAGCCCTCAACCAGTCGGACAAGATCGACTTCCTGCTCCTCCGCAACTTCCTCAGGCGCAAGAACCACCAGTTGTACGCCCAGAAGGAGGCCAACAAGGAGATCCAACGCCTGATTCCCTTTGCACAGCTCATCACTACGCTGTGCGAAGCTCGCCGAGACGTCGACCCCCTGTCGAATGAGCGGGTCGCCCAGCAGCTCGAAGACATTGCAAGGCTGGTCAACCAGGTCAAGGACGGCATTGAGAATGACAGAATCAAGATTAGCAAGACGGCTGCTTTCAGAGCCTCCAAGGTGGTCACGGAACTTCGAGGCCATCTCCAGGAATTCTTCAACTTTTATTCATCGTACGATCCCATGTTCGACTGGTGGGCCACCGCCCCGTGGAAGGAAGCCGATGCTGCAATGTCACAATTCATCCCGCTCATCCAAGACAAGTTGGCGGGGATGCATCAGGGAGAAACGGGCGATATCATCGGCGAGCCTCTCGGAAGAGAGGCGTTGATGGCTGAATTGGAGACCGAGATGATTCCCTACTCGCCCGAGGAGCTCATCACTCTGGCCAAAGAACAATTTCACTACTGTGAACTGCAGATGAAGGCCGCCTCTGAGGAGCTTGGCTATGGTGACAACTGGAAGAAGGCTCTCGACTCCGTCAAGAAGCACGCCGTCCCTCCCGGCGAGCAAACAAGCTTTGTGAAGAAGCTCGTCCGCGAGGGTGCCGCCTTTGTCAAGGAGCATGACTTGGTTACCGTCCCGCCGTTGGCAGAGGAGGTCTCTCGCATGACCATGATGAGCCCCGAGATGCAAAAGGTCGCACCCTTCTTCCTGGGCGGGCCTCTCATCATGGTTGCCTATCCAACTGCCGATATGCCACACGAGCTGAAGAAGATGGTGATGCGTGGCAACAACAGGCACTTTGCCCGCGCAACCGCGTTCCACGAGATGATCCCAGGCCATCGCCTCCAGCTTTACATGAGCGAGCGTCACAACAGCCACAGGCAGATCTTCACCACGCCCTTCAGCATCGAGGGCTGGGCCATGTACTGGGAGTATGTCTTCTGGGAGCGCGGCGACTTCTTCGAGACGCCCGAAGACCGCATCGGCACCATGTTCTGGCGAATGCACCGCTGCGCCCGCATCATCTTCTCTCTCAAGTTCCATCTCGGACTCATGTCTCCCCAAGAATGCATTGACCTGTTGGTCGAATGGGTCGGCCACGAAAGGTCCACTGCCGAGGGCGAAGTCAGAAGGTCGTTCAACGGCGATTACGGTCCTCTCTACCAGGCCGGCTACATGCTCGGCGCACTGCAGCTGTTTGAACTTCACAGGGAGATTCTGGAGAGCAATCACATGTCTGAGAAGGACTTCAACGACGCGTTCCTCAAGGCCAATTTCATGCCCATCGAACTGTTCCGAGCCCTGGTCCTAGACTTGGAGTTGCATCCGGATTACACGCCCAATTGGAAGTTTAACAAATAAAGAGAACGCGGCCCTGAACGGGGGTCAGTGGATGAGAAGGAAAAAGTTGGCATTCATTTTTGGGTTTGGGTTCAATGTTCTCTCGCTGTTGGGGGGAGCTTGTACCGTCATGTCTCTATGCATTTGCTCTTGACTCCGTTTAGCACGTTTTCATACTACAACACACAGCCTCAGCAAGCCGCATAGCGAACAATGATCTACTGGTTAAGTATTTTTGCTTTTTTTTTTCATAGGTATCTAATGTTATATGACGGATGAAATTTTATGAAAGTTGATGTCTCTACTCTAATGTGTCCTTTCCTAATGCCTGCTGGATGTGTGACATGTACAGCGAGGCCTTGACGGTTTGCAAAATGTAGTAATTGCATGTACCTAGTAGGTATGAGTTTCTACAGAGTTGGAAAGTCACATGTAGAGCTGATGGAATAATGGTGATCAAGTTTCCCTAGGTAGGTTGAGTAGTTCTAGAGACCTGTAGATCTAGGTAAGTCGAGTTTCATTCGGCAGACCAACTTAAACGTACGAAATATGAGTAAGAAACATTTTCTCAATCAAAGAATAACGGCAAACGACAACTATTGATACGCCAGATATGCATCCCTCGTAAGTTGATATATCGCTGTGCAAAACCATCCGCTTCAAATGTCCCCATCATCCTCATTGAGAAGCTCCAGACCACTATCATATCTCTTCCGCAATACTCTACTCCCTCTGCGCCGCAAGCTTTCCAAGTATTCTCCCGAGCGTACAACCGTCCGAAGCGTATCTGGTTCATTACTACCATACTCGCTGCTTGGATCACCAATACTAGGCTCACCAAGGAAACTCTGGCTCAATCGCAAGACTCTCTGCAGCTCCTCCTTCATCGAATCCATAGCGTGTTTGGCTTTCTTCCTCTCTTCCTCCATCTGACCCTTCATCCCGCTATTCTCTCTCCGAAGAGCGTGAATGGTATCTTGCGCAAGTTGTAGCGAAACGTTGACCCTGTCAATATCACCTCGCAGCTCGGAGACTCGCGCATCCCGAAGTGCGAGTGCTGTTCTGTGCTGTCTACTCATAGCAGCCGTCTGCCTAGTCAGAGAAACTTCTGTAGCGCTCATTTCTTTGAGGAGCTCTGCGGTTTGGACGACTGCTTTTTCAATCTTAGCTTCCAGTTCGGCGATGATAGTATCTTTGGCCGCGATTGAATCTTCACTCGACTTCTGCTGAGAGATATGCATGTTTGTAGATTCTCGATGCTCCTTCTCCATTCGTGCTACGAGCTTTTCAAGCTCTGCGATGTCGCGAACATAGCCGTCAACTGCACCCTTGAGTCGGTCATTGCTAACCTCAAGCTCTCTGACACGGTTGTCTTTCTCGTCGAGCGTACGGTATACTCCCGCGATCTTCTCATTGAGCTCATCCATGACGGAGACTCGTGAGTCAAGTTGTTTGCGTAGGGATTGCTCAATCTCATGGTACTCGTTAATTGACTCGTCATCTTCCTTGGACTTCTTTGCCAGGTCTCTCAGACGCATTAGCAGAAGATCAAGCACCTGCGCGCCGCGGGAAGTGAGCGGCAAAGAAACCTCTCCCGGTGTGAAATACTCTAGCTCGATACGAGCAGCTCGAAAGCCAGCCGCGAGCGACAAAACCATTTCGCTCACATCATCGCCGGGAAACCCCAACTCGCTAATGGCAGACGTGAGATGTGAAGCTGCGGTAGCCCGTTCGGACATGGTTTGTAGCAGTAACTGGACCTGGTTCTCGACGGTCTCAAGGGTAGAAAAGGCTCGGCTTCTCTCCGAAGGGCCATTTGATAGCGCATCGCCAATGCGCGCACTAAGAGCATGATATGAATCCAAAGTCGCTGTCAATCTGTGCATTTCAAAATGCAGTGATGCAATCTCCTCTTCAAGTAGTTGCTTATTTGAGTCCGGATAACACAACGGAGTATCGCGAGAGGAGGGTGTTGGTGAGGCAGCCCGGGAGCATGGAGATGCAAGCATGCGTGGACCTGTTGCAGGAGGAGTCATAAACGAGGATCTTGCCCTTGCCGGTGTGCTGGCCTGCAACTGTAACATGGTGCTGTCACCGAAGTGATCATCATCTCGAGCCGTATCCATTAAATCGTTTTTTGAGGCATCACTTGATGACTTCGCCCAGCTGTAATACTGAGTCACCCCCTCTTTAACCGAGTTCCTGGAAAGCTCGTCTTTGAGTTCTTCAACTTGCCGTTCTAGGAGCCATACCCTCTCTGTGTCCATGATGACCGTTGCATTCCGTAAGTCGTAAATCTCACTGTCTCTGGCCCTGACATCAGCCTTGAGCCGGGCAATCTGTGCTTGAGCCGTCTGTTCTTTGCGGCGTTTTTCCTGCTCGAATTTGTGAAGTAAATCACGGAAACCATTGCGACGCATCCGACGTTCAACACGACCATCAACTGTCTGATGAAGATCAAGAGCCGTGTGGCGACTCAGTCGTGGGGCCGAGCTGGGGCTTCTTATGTGGGCTGACCGTCGACTTCTCGGAGTCGCAAGATGCGTGCGCCGCACCATTGGTGTAAGGCCGCTTGAGATTATAGAAGAGCTCGGATCAGATAAACGAGATCCTCTTTTTCTCCCGTGGGGAGTTCCTGGAGGCGTCGAAATACCCAGAGGCACTTCCGATTTGATAGCTGTGCGCGCGCAGCATCGTCGGCTGCGGCGTAACGCAACAGGAAGGTCCAGACCTTCCATATCGGCAAACTGTTAGATGTATTATTTCCTTGTTTTCATTTGAACTCAAGACGGCCTTTTGTTTTCGAACAGTACGAGGACGTGATTCAGGACAAGTCGTGGGAACGGACATCAGAGCATATAGATAGGCCCAACGGAGAATCTTGGCTTCTACCACTAGCGCTCAAGGTAAACATCCATGCCTATTGTACACACCGCGTCAGAGACTTGCCCCTCTCCTATCATGACCATGTACGCGCATACGAGTAAATACGTGTAGCCCTTGCATCAACCCATGCTCGACTCGGGCAGCTTTTGTTTACATGTTGCCTGCTGAGGCTTAGCGCCCGAGTACATCGGACAGCCGGCCCCACCGTCTCCCGGCAGAGCTTCTCTTCCAACGAACTGGGCGTTTATCGAGGGCGGGCTGCATGTCTTAGACTACAGGTAACCGCACTTTTTGATAAAGAAAATACAGATAGATAGTACTCCAGGAAACAAGTACTCCGTACTGTCGCGTCTTTTGTAAAGTGTATGAAAACCTCTCATCCCGCCATCAACAGAACCCTCCGAGTCAAGGGCGAGCAGAACCCAACCAACGCGTAGTTGGATGTGGGGAGAATAGTTGACAGGTGTGAGCCAAACAATAGATATCAGGTAAGACAATGCCAGCTGATCATCCCACTATAAACCCAATACAAGTGGATTGTTATTGTTGTTGTTGACACGGCATGTAAGTAGGCTCTCTTCTCGCCATAAAGACAAAAACGACCTGCCGAAAGCCAAATATGCAATCTTGAAGAAAAAAATAAATAAAGGTCAAGACACTTATTCATCTCTACTAATTAGTCTCAGAGGTGGTCGTGTTGACAATTCCACGGACCTTTCACTGCCACCCATTGGCATCTATTCGAAACACCACAGCCTTATTGCCCGTATTCTCATCCACCATCCTATTATCATTTATCGTAAGAATATCAGTCGATATTTGTGACATCTTCCGACCTTCCAAGCTGCAAATTTTCTTCGGGTCCTGGTACGACAGTACTACTACATTGGTGCCGTATTCACCTACATGGGACGCCGTTGAGACATATATTCCGTATGAGCGGCCGTGCCTTTTTTACCAAAAGACAAACTTCTGCGTTTCCTTGGGAGGCTTGGATTCATGAACACATGAGAAGCGGTGTCATTCTCTTCGAGATAGAATGGGTGCTCAATACTGGCATCATCTGTCGCAGCTGCCGCAAAAATTGCTTCTCTGACGTGCGTTCTTGAGCAAGTCTCGAATCTGTCCGACGCCTCTCCACTCAGAATCCCTTTCCATGTCAGAAACCAGAACCTGCTGATGATCTTTTACTCTCACGATTCCCAATATAGAGCCCAAAGCGAGATTCGGTGCTGAGAGGATCGGAGCCGCTGGACTTGCAGTGTGTAATGTCGCATTGGTCATGGTAATGTAGTCATAGGTGGCGGCGCGCTCACCAGTGTGGTCAATGACAAGGATGGGCCGCTCGATACAGTCATCAAATTCGGCCTATCCTGCAAAATACTGGTTTTTACAGCAGAGTGTGTTGTCATGGTTATCGCGGACAGCGTTATCGTCTCCTTTGGATGTGACTTCATCATAAATATAGACTTTCGTGTCAATGTCACCGCCAGCATCACGCAACTAAGGACTGTGGAGAAGACTGTCATGACGATTGCGAATGGCAGCATCCGTTTCCGATAGTACCAGGGTCTCTGGAGAGGTTCTCGGTGTAGTTGATAGTACTGCTCCCGAGCGGTATTTGGCTGTTGGTCATCCGCAGATCGTGTAGTAGAGCGCCGAGGAGCGGATGGTGGTATTGGCGCCTCATGCACAGCAGCAGCCTGTCTGTTTTGCTGCTGCACAAGGTAAGCGATATCAAATAGCGGCATCATGGTGAAGTCTCTTGGTTGGACTGTGATGTTTTTATAATCATGGAGAATAAAGTGCACTACCCTCAGATGCACCTGGCCGTGAGGAACTTGCATGCTTATATACAGATGGGGTGATTCTACAAGGAATCAGTAGCAAGATTAAGAGCATCATGACCATCAATTTGCTCCACCATGGAGTCACAATATCACGTCCAATGGTGCATAAACAGGACCAACAGGCAAATATGAGAAGAGCAAATATGAGAAGTCCATCAGATGCATGCGGACGAGCTGGAAAGCAACTGTAACGGCGGACATTGGAAGCCGTGTGCATCCTCATAGTGTTGAAAACTTCAGATGTATGTCACAGAGTGACCAGGTTGCTAACAATCACAGCACGAATGTCGTGATTCAGTCACACTGCTAAATAATGCACAAATGCGTGATTCAGGGTCAAGTGAAGGTGACCATGGAGATGACTCACAGGATTATGCAGGACAAGGCAATGAATGCCTCGGCAGGATATCCAGCACGGAGAGTCCTCGGTATCTTTGTCTGAAGGATTCATGTTGATCCAATGTGAAATGTTGAAATTGATCAATGATGATTCCAGCTATTAATAATACGTGCATGTCCACATCATGCCTCGTCCACTTAAGCTCAGTGGCTGGCGCAGGTACGAGTACATGTACCTGTGCCGCAGGGCTTAGCACGGGTGGGAACATGTACATCCTCGTACCATTTGCAGAGATAAGGCTGCATGCGCAGATAAGTGCCCAAGATTGCCGAACGACGAGACGGGCACGATGAAGCTGGTGTGGTATGGATGATTTGATGTCCATGATTAATACCCACGGATGGGGCTGGTAACGTAACAAATCCAATGCCCAAGCTTCCCGGGCTTCAATTTTAGCTGACCGAGTCCCCCCCAGGACAGCCCAGGGACAGCCCAGGGACAACGGCGGGCGGCCAAGGGCCCTGCAGCGCCTGCTAACGGCCACTAACCGCTTAAATTAGCACCGTCCAGCTTCCCTACAGTCATGCTCCAGGCTGATTCCTCCGGGTTACCACCGATCCGACTGGACCCCATAATACGGCCAAGCTCAATCCATACCCGTCAGTCATGCTTCTTTTGCTTCAGCTTCAGACTGATCCTCTGCTCATCCTCATCCTGCTTCCTCTGGCCCAGCCCGCCATCCTGAGAAGCCGGAAGATGACGGCGCTTCCAGGTGCCGAATGATCCATTCTCAACCTGCTCACCAAGGCAATGTCGCCATGGCCGTGCCGGCACGCAAAGTAAAGTTCGTCGCGTCTGATCCCGCCCGCGGCGGTTTGCCCGTGAAACGACGACAGGTCCAGCAGGCCTGTCTGTCGTGCAGGCGCAAGAAGGTATCGTGATTGATTCCCGTCGCCGTTGCCAGATGCATGGACTAACGGCCTGCTTGCTAACGGCGTTGAAGCGAAAATGCAACCATGCGGAAGATGCCATGGTTGATGACGCTTCCCTCGAAGACCACAAAGGCCTGCTGGAAACGTCCCCTTCTCAATCCTCGTGAGGCCTTGCTGTATCACCCCCCCGATGTTTGCCAAACTTCTGACACTATGCCGAGACCTGGGACTTCTAGATCATCTCTCACGCCTTCAGTCCGCATGAGGCCGCTTGGCGGGGAGGACGCCGCGACACCAGCCGGCAGAACTGGTCTAAACACTCATTCATCACCCGTCTCGCGGCGGCCCCTCCCAGGAGGCTTCAACCATGGCGAAACGCAAGCAAATACGCCTGCAGCACACATCGCGCAGGACATTGCCGCGCGACCGCAGTCGTCACGCTTTGTGGGCGACTTGAACCCAGAGGGCATGTTCATGGAAGCTGCAGTTCCCAGTGTGACCCGTGCCTCATCACAGAAAGGAGATGTGGGCATATGGTTTCCCGCAGCTACTACTGGACAGCCATCCCAGTTCATCACCTCGCGCCCTCCACCTGTCATGGACAGCTTTATGCTCCCGTTTGTACGAGAGCATTGCCTGTCCTGCCTGCCCCCTGAAGAGGATTATGCCCGGTTGAAAGCACTGTTTTTGCAACGAGTTCACCCCATCTTTCCCGTCATCCCCGAGGCCGCCCTCAGTGGACCTACAGACAGCCCTTCCAGCATCGTCCTACGGCAACTTGCTTGTTTGGCAGCCAGTTCTGATCCACAGGCGACTCCATATCTGCGTCTGAAGAATAAGGGCCTCAGCCCGCTGCGGCCCTCCGAATTCTCCAGCGCATTGTCTTCCTCGGTCCGTGCCATTTTGGAAACAAGCATTATTCCCGACAGAGTGGTACACATACAAGCGCTCACCATGCTATCCCTCTATACTCAGCCTACCTGCGCGGAAGAGTCCGACTTACCGGCTCAGCTTGGGGGTAGGGCAATCCACCACATCCAAACTTTGGGGTTACACCTTCTTAGATATGATGGGCCGAATTTTGGTGAATTGGAAAATCTCTTTTGCGCAGTTTGGGCCCTGGATAGGATAAATGCCGCCATGTATGGACGACCGTGCCTGATCCATGAGAGAGATATTGGGGCGGATCTCGACGCTTGTATCAAGAAACGCCAGCCTGCCTTCCGGCTTCTGCTATCCGTGGCACAATGGCTGGATAAAGTCGTGGAGCTGTATCGCCCTGGCCCTAGTGCGCAAGTGTCCGGCTTTGATAAAGTCGCATACATTGATCTACCCGTTCTTGAAGCAATGATTGTGGACGCAGATGCCTTGAAAGTCCCAACATCTCTCATTGGTAAGCTCTCTACAGACGAATCATGTGTGGCTATATTCCTGACCAACGTTACTAGCTACTATTGAAACGTTTTATCATGCCGTGATAATACTATCGTGCCGGCTTCCCCGGCCAGGAACAATCATCGCAGCCTCGACATTGCCACCCCCATCTGCCAATGCCCGCCGTTCACTTGCAGCCGAGCGCATCGCGTGCGCAGTAGAAAGGGACTGCCTAAGCTCTCTTCCATTTATTCCCTACGCAGTGTCGCTCGCTCTCAGCGTCGAGTATCGAAAGATGAGGCACAGCCGGTTGCCCATGTTCCGCACGCGAGCAATGAACGCCTTCAAAAGAAACTGCGACCTCCTTCGATCTTATAGCGAACATTACTGGAGCGCTCGAGTTGTCGCTGGGCTTGGAGATGGCGTATTACGAGAAATGGAGCGAGCGGCCAACACGTTGGCTAAGGAGCACAGTCCTCAGCCGGCCGAAGTACCGCCAAAGCCCGTAATGGATGATCAAGATGCGCCAGTTGCTCAAGATCCGGGTCCTACGCCGTCAGGGGACCCCGTGACGATGAATTCTAACCTGGGCTTTGAGAGCGTCATTGACTTTTCCGTCATTGACGCGATTTCGGGTCAGGATGTGTTTGGGCATATTGACCCCAACTTTAACCTAGACGCCGTGGAAGATGCCTTGGAAGCAAATCTCGATATTGGTCTTCCGCCCAATTGGGGAGACTGGGGCCAGTTTGCGGCATGAAGCATGGTTGTGATGGGATTAGATTGAATGCGCATAGCTTTTATACGTAACCGCTTGGTAGATAGTCAGGGGTGTTTTGTATTTAGAGAGGCGCGGGTATCAATTTGCGATTGATGGATACCAGGCGTTTTCAGCCGTTGCATGACTGAACAGGCCACTCTTATGGGTGAGTTGGGATAACATTACCAATTGGTCTATACCACGCAGTTTGATTGAGTGTTGGATAATGGACGCTTATACACGAAGCACTATTCAAAGGGAAATTGGGTAACATTCGGTTCAACAATCATATATATGCCTACAGCTCATCAAGAATACTAGATAACAATACACTTGAAAAAGAAAAAGAAAAAGACAAAAAGGTTGCCAAACGCAGAATGGGGGGCTGGGATGATGCAGAAAAAAATTGAATCTCCGATACTGGGAATCGAACCCAGGGCTGCTCGGCACTCGAAGGATGAGAGCGAGCGATGTTAGCCACTACACCATATCGGATGGATGCTTGTTGTTGAAAGCTCCTGTGCTATTGGCCACTATAGAGCTAGACGCGAGGCCTGCGCTCATCATCGACAAGAGATCTGATTTCGCATCATGGGCAAGCAAGGCAATAAGAGTCACCCGAGGAAGATATATATAAAAGAGTTGGTAGGTGCCTTTTATTCGGGGCATCAAAATCAAAATCGTGATTCATATCAACATTGACGTATTCTCCACGTCTTGCCATCGCTGAAGCTTGTATCATACAGACACGCTCCACGTTGGGTGTAATGTTTGGGTTCTTTACAGCAACAAGGGCCCATGTATCTGCTCTTCTCTTCCTGCATCTTAAGATGATGCGCACGCAATGATGAAGCATCGCATGAGTCCGGTGATGCTATGTCCAGCTCAGGAAAGGGGCTAGAAATGCCCATCCTATGTACCTGATGCTCGGAGTGGCGATGGTTTGAGGTGCGGCGTTTCGTTTCGGCGTTTGCCCGACGATGTGCGAGTGCGAGACATTCGGCGCATAGCTATTCTCTCACAGCCAAGGACCGGTATCGACTTCTTCGTCTATACCGGTGCATCATCGCAGTCGTGGCGGGCGTAAATGGGTATTTCTCTTCGACCTCAAGATGAGCATCGTTTCACTTGGCAGGCGGCTTCGTAGTGATGTCGGTCGGTTTCCCGCGAGCCTGGTTCTTCAGCTCGCCGATGAAATGCCTGAAAAATCCATCCGTTCGACCTCCCGGATTCGGATCCGCTGCAAATAGACAGTTTCTCGTCAGCTCAGTCTCTCCCTTCAATCTTCAAACACTCGGCGTCCGTACCCGTAGCTTCTCCCGGCGCAAGCGGCTCGTGCGGATTTCGGCCATGCTGCTTCTCGTTGATCGCGCGGTGGACGCGGCCGACGGCTCTGTGGAAGCCCGGCTGGCGGAGGATCTGGAAGCTGTTGCGTGAGCGATAGTTGAGAGGGGAAGTCGTGCGCCTGTCAAAGGGACACTTACGGTGTCGATGATTCGATCCTCAAAAGCCTGGATGAGCCGAAGCGCGTACCAGTACGGCGACATTGTGATTTTCCTGCTGATTGCTGCGGGAGGAGATTGTGGTGGCGGGAGGAATTGAGAGGAGGCGCCGGCTTAATAATAATTGGAGAGGAATTTACTGGTGGTAGAGATTTTGTCGCGACGGCGATGCTGAGGTAAAGCTGCATGTACGTACCTTTGCTGACAGGCGGAGGATTTTGATCAGCCTCACTTTGTAATTGTACATAAATACACGTACATATACGGCTGCAATATCAAGCAGGGGCAATTGTGCTTCTTTTGATGGGGAACAAGTCAAAAAATCTCAATTCACTTTTCTGCTTATGCATTGCCGTCTCCTCCTTCTTTTGCGAAGGAGAATCCATAGGGTATTGCGGTTTAACAGCGCTCGAATAAAAACATACTTGATCATTCTTCCAGCTCATTCCAACGAGTCCAGTTTGTCGTTACTTTTCCCTCCATCAATTGACGATATCCATTCTCCTTTTCACTTTTTTTTTCTTACTGCTTGTTGAGGTACTGGCCAATGAAGGAGTCAAGGTAGGACTGCTTGCCCAGGGGAACGCCCTCCTTGCGCAAGATGTTGTAAGCGGTGGAGAGGTGGAAGAAGACGTTGGGCAGAGCATAGCCGTTGAGGTAGTTGGAGCCGGGCATCTGGAACGTGCCAGCAGAGCCCATTCCGAGGGTGACGAGCTCGTTTTGGCGCTGGTTGATGACGTCCTTGTCGGCAGTGGCGAGGATCTCCTCAGCTTTGGCGATGCGGGCGTAACAATCGGCAAAGGTCTCAACCTCGCCCTCCCAGGAGTGAGGCTCGACGCCGGTCAGACGGGCGACGATCTTGGTTGAGGTGTCGGTGACCATCTTGACCTGGAAGACAAGGGGCAGCATGTCGGGATGGATGCGGACGGCCAGGAGAGCGGCAGCATTGGGTGAGGCTTCACCCAGCTTGAGGATGTTGGTGAGAGACTTGAGGGCGCTCTTGGCCAGGGGGATGGAGGCGTCGTAGAGAGAGTAGCTCATCTTGGAACGATTAGGACTCGAATTGATTGGCTGGGTTTGGGATGGTTTAGAAGAGAAAAGAGGTGAGATGTGATGAGGCAATTGACAATTGGAGTCTCGCAATCAAGAGAGGGAGTGGCCTTGGGGATATATATATTAGTATCAATGTTAACCTTGGGTCATTTACCCCGAGCGTATTCACTTGGACTATACACTATGCTATTCATCCATCGGGAATATAACGTACAACGTTAATGTCCCTCTCCTGAATCAGCAGGTGGTCTCCGCCTATCCTCGAGTCAAACTTAGCAACTACAAGCCGCTACTACTCTGGTCTGAGAGGACTCGCGATAGTCTGGTCACCGTCCTCGCTTGAATTCCGTATTCCGTATTCCGTCGCCGCTTGTCTCGCTTCCGCTTCTCTCGCAACTGCGGCTTGACTCAACGGATCCTCTCTCCTCTTCCAGCTCAACTCCCCTCCCAACGGCCCACAGACGGATCCTCTTGGGCACAGCATTACCATTAGCTGTTGGCCAGAATCGAGGCTTGAAAGGCCCGCAACGCAAACACGACGCTGGATTACTAATTAGAATCGCATCGAAGCCACTCCCGCAGTCCAGCCAGAGAGCGGTCAAATGAAATCGAGCGGCGTGTCATTCATTGTCAATCCCTCATGTCACAGGGAGGGCAAACTCCCAGCCGTTGTGGATCACCAATGAGCTGTTGTTGTGCATGTGTGAGTCCCTAGTCCATGTTCATGCTCACTAATAACTGACTGGCCGAGCCAGTGCGAGAGACGCCGACGACCCGAAGGGGGGCAGCAGAATCCGGCCATCTGCATCATTTCTGCACTCCAACACACAAGTTCGGTTGGACATGGGCCAAGGGGCCAATCGAGTGACCCATGACTCTCATCGGCTCGTTTCTCGTCTCTTTTTGCCCGTTTTATTCTCTCCCTTGTTTCCTTTTCCCAAAGTGGACAACGGTGCGGACCGTGGAAATAACAGCTCGGCTCTCGGCCATCCAGTCAGCACCGTATTACTACTACCCACCTCGCGGCTATCCAATCTCCATCTCCATCTCCATCTCCTTGTGCAATGACAAATCGATCCGCGCAAAAAGTACAAAGTGCAACGTTCAAGGGCTTCGCTTCACTCAACACGGTCCCCTCCCTGTGTATCTGCCTGCCGAAGGATTCGATCAAGAGAAGCCCCCCGTGTTACCAAAGCTGAAGGATCCAAGATTTGGATTACCACGCAGCCGAGACATCAGCAAACAATGACGCCTTTTACTCAGCAAACATTTCAGCTTAGAAATTGAAGGACAAGACTGTGAACCCAACAAACGGGTTTCAGGAGCAACTCTTCACCGTCCGCGCTGACATGGTGTTCACAGTTCAGCAAAGCACAGCACAGCAAAGCACAGCACAGTGTTGCTTGCATATCCCGCCTCTTGTTTTTTTCCCTTTCTTCTATCCGTATTACTGATCAATAAGCCGTCATCAAACCGAGCAGAAACTAGAATCTTGTTAGTCCACGACGCTACGCCGCTCGATGCGAGACACGCTTCATATTACAAATGCCTCCCAGATAGTGTACAGTACAGGGCAGTCTCATCCTCCACTCGCCTTCGCCTCCAAACAGCATACCAACCAATGCCACGGGACCAAAAGAAGGCCACAGCAAAATCCTCACGCCAATCCAAAAAAAAAAAAAAGTTACATGAAAATAAACTCTCTCTCTCTCTCTCTCTCAAATCAGCCCCAAAGTCGCGTTAAACCTATCCACCACTTCTCTCGCTCCAGGCAGGGCTGAAGGACTCGCAACAAGCTTATCCAAGCCCATTGCCCGTCGGCCCTCGGGGTTGACCCATCGCCGCACCATATCCTCTGTCACGCGGCCGATGTGCTTTGATTCACCATCGCCGCCCGGAAAGTCGGGTCCTGGTGTGCCGTCCAAGAAGGCCTGGCGTTGTCTGGCGAGGTATTGCGCGTTGAGCTCTGTCACCGGGCATACGGGAATGTAGAGCACGCTCGAATCGGATTGTCCCTTGTGAACTTTGTCGACGGCATGGATGGCTAAAAGGCATGTTAGTATCTATCCAAAGCACGATGTTAAAGAAGGGAGAGAAGAGGACAAGACTTACTGTCACAATGCCATGCCACAAAGGCCCCGGGCTTGATCTCGGGCACATGTGTCATGGTCCTTGAAAGCTCCAGGTGAGGATGAAGCTCATCATTAAGCTCTTGCCCGTGTCCCGGATGTGCGCCTTGAAGGTCGCTGGTCATATCAGCATCGCCAGTGAATGTCCAGTTCTTCTCGTCCAAGAAGGCATCCCCCTTCTTGGTGGTATCAAGAGGCGTAAAGAATGGCCTCAGAAGCGTGTACGCAGTTGACAGCATCAGAGGATACGTCAACAGAGTGCCTTGTTCTGGTCCTACTCGGCTCATAGAGACCCAGCCCTGCCATGCTCTAAAAGCACTACATGCTCCTAGGCCGTTGTGAAGGTCGTTGACGGCATCGATTCTGCCGGAAGCATCCCAGCCATCATACTTCTCCCATCTGCCTTCAAACACTCTGTCGTATACATGGCCACGTCCGTATCCGTCTTTTTCCCAGCGCTCAACGCTGCCGCCGTCGATGTGAGGGCCCAGTGCAAAGGCCGCGTCGCCGGGTTGACGGATGCGAAGCCTATCAGCATAGGATAGGGGTATGTCGAGGGAGATTTGGGCACTCGGCGATGACGTGTGCCAAAAGCCTGACATGAGATGCTTTTGTACTTTAAGCATAGACGGGTGTGAGCGAGCTTGGATCTGTGGCTCAGACCAGTATAGCTCATATACCTGTGGATCATGAGCTGGGAAAGCTACCGTTGACCGTTAGCCATCATGTCTACCCCCCTTCAAAACCAATACGATATATACATGTATGTGTGTGTGAGAGAGGGAAGCCTTACCTCTTGTGTTTGGGTTTTGCTTGACATATTCCTCCACGCGGGCCTTGTATTCCCTCGCTTCGCCTTCCGGGATTACGCCATGTACGACCACCACTCCCCTCTTCTTAATCTCCTCCTTGACTTTATTGTCCAGCCCAAAGTTCAGGTCAGAAAACTCTACTTGGGGAATCACGGCAGGGCCCTTTTGCGCAATAACCTCGTTTTCCCTCCGCAGCGTCCGCAGCAGCCTCGTCCAGCTCGCCGCAATCTCCTTCTCACGACCCCTGACCAGCTCCAACTTGAGCTGTCTGAAGCGATCCGGCAGCGGCGCCTGCTCCACGCCCGACAGCGAGACGAAGGAGTCCGAAATATCCCCTTGCCTCTTTGGCGCCGGCTTTGGCGTCTGCACCGTCGCGAGGCAGCGGTGCAGACGGGGCAGGACGGGAGTGGCCTTGATGAAGCTTGAGCGCAGCATCTTGAAGTTTTTCTTTTCTTTTCTTGTAATGTTTTTTTTCCACGCCACGAAAGAACTGGGATCACAACAAAGGGGTTTTCAGCACCAGGAAATGATGGAAACACACAACCTGAACCAACAAACGACCAAGACTGTCATCATACTATTTATATTGATGGGCTAGAGGTGTCGGTGTTGCTGTTTTGGGGTGGTCCGCGCCCCGCCTCAGCCACGTAAACTCTATCTCCCCCAACGCTACACGATACCAAACAGCAAACTGGATCCTTTTTTTATCTGCTATGGCCTGATCGAGATCCTAATCGAGGGCGGGAATGGCGGTGGTGCTGTCTTGGGGCGGGCTGAGACATGGTTGGATTGCGTCTAAGACGCGGAAAGATGGAGGGGGGAAAGCTTCTCAAAGGAGGCCCATCGTTTCCGCTTACAAAAAAACTTGAAGAGAAGAAAAAGAGTAACGTATTCCCCCCGTTCTAATCCAACCCGCCTAGCTAGAAAAGAATCAATCCATTAGCTTCTTGCACTACATCACCAATGCTGGAACGTTACAAAGTCATTGCCATCGCTGGCCGATCTCAAGATATCACCGAGTGTGTTCGCGACCCCCCCTTTTTTTTTCTTTCTCGTCTGCCGTACCCAGCAGCCGTGTAACGAAAAAAAAAAACAAAAAGCAGTCATCCTTTCGGCCGACACGGATTTCCAATTCAAAACATGATCACATGAGTTCTTCTGAAATGGTGCGTATACCCGAACCTATTTATTAAATTGTTTCCATTGCAGGAAGGGGGGGGAAGGACCTTTGTAAAAAATGACGAGCTGCCGACTTCTTCATGGCGTCATTTGTAAGAAAAGACAAAATCCCCGGCCTCGTGGTGTTTCTAGCATAGTCATCCGGTCACATGGACAGCGAGCTACGTGATATAGCCTAAAAGAATATGCTTCTTTGACGTTCCATTGTGTCGTTGCATGATGAGATTTTAGAAAAAGTTCGGTGCAGGCGAACAGCTGGCCGTGGCCGCTTCTAGGGAAGAATGAAACGTCTGGGGGGGGGGGGGGGGGGGGGGTGGGGGGGGGGGGGGGGGGT